GGGGGGGTACTCCCGCCAATTTTGGATAGGGGTTTGCCGCGAAGGTTCGTGAACCCTACCCCTATTTAAGGACTAAGAAAGCGAAAACGGATACCCTTTTTAAGGGCCAAAGCCGTAAAATGACACCCTATTCAAGGAAAAAACAAAATTATTAAAGGCATGAAAAGGAAAACTTTATTTCTCCTCTGTAACATTGGATTTATAGCATCAAGCATAAAATACCAGAATAAGCCTAGTTAAAAAAAAAAAAATGTTCGTTTAGGCGGGCGTTTTCACACTCCACTATTAGATAACACAATTAAGCTACCCTATCTAAGGAACACACCAGGGACACAGAAACAAAAGGGTAAAAAAAGATACCCTATTTAAGGACTGAGAACCTCAAAAACCATACCCTATTCCGCGGCACGTACCTATATAGCCCATATATGGGAGTACCCCCCCCCCGGAAAGATTCCCCGTTTTAAAGATTCCCGCTTTTAAAGATTCCCCATTTTAAAGATTCCTCATTTTAAAGATTCCCCGTTCCCCGTTCCCCGTTCCCCGTTCCCATTCCCATTCCCATTCCCATTCCCATTCCCCGATTCCCCGTTCCTTGTTTTAAAGATAGCCCAGTTGTGACCGCTAGAATGGGGTTGCAAAGGTCTGAAAAATGTCACAACGGGATTGAGAGATGTGAAAAGAGGAGGAATTAATGCTAAAAAGCAGGCTTATAGTTGGGTCTGTAGGGCCTAGCATGAAGAAAGAAATAAAACACTGCAGGTCCAGGAGCCCATCATAGGCATAGTTGATAGGCTCCTGGCAGGTCAGACTAAATAGGAGAGTGACCTTTGACCGTAGCATTGAGGTCCATTCCCCAAGCTTTTTTTTTTTAAAATAAAAAATGAAGGAAAAAAGTCGTTTGCAGATTGGCTAATTGAGCTAGCAAACCGCGGCTTCGGCATGTCCACGGATGCCTTCCTTAAATCAGTGAAAAAGTTCCTAGACAACGAAGTAAGAATTATGTCATTTAATAACCGCTCGCGTTCCCCACCATACCCCAGCCATTTGTTATGTTTTATTTCACGATGCTAGGTTATATTTTTGGAATCGATTGCCAGACTACTTTGCAAGTGCAAGAGAAGCTTACAAGTCGCTTGCCTGTCGAAATTTATGTACAATTACGTTGTTATTGTTGTGTCCGGATACTGGGCCAGCTGTCAGGATACTGGGCAACATAGGAGCTCTGCAAAAATATTAATTTCGCGATGGAAACTAAGGCAAAAAAGTTAAACTGTCTTTCGTCATATTAAGGACTAAATAGGTTTTCTCTGTGTCAAATTTCAGATCTCTTGCGACTAACAAAGGAAAGTTATTGCAATGTTAAACTGAAGTGTCCGGATACTGGGCAACATACTGTACAGATTTTAGCAGCTGGGATCTGAAATAGAATGAGCATTTTCTGTTCCGACCATTCATTGTTTGCGAATAGTGTTTCCAGTCAGAATAGCGTCAGGTGTTTTAGGAACCATGCCGCACACCCCAGCCCTAAATTTTCTGGGGGTACTCCCCCCAGGATGTTGCGGCTATCGCCTAAACTATCAACTGTACGGGCAAGTTGAAAAATACAATGTACTGGAGCGAAAAGGGGAGTATCGGCGTTTACGATGCGTTTCTTCAAAGAAGAAAAAGATTATCCATGCTGTACAATTCTTGTAAAAACATGATATTTTTTAGCCTGCGAAAACATCCGTTTCTCCTCCCTCTTTGCCGCGTCCCCAGTGACGGATGTTTTCGCAGGCTAGATATTTTTCATTCAACACGGCTCTATGAAAATCGTAGCGTGACAACACTTTGTAGAGTAACTTGAGAATGAGATCTGAGGGCCAATTTTAGCAGCTCACTCTCCCCAAGATTAAAGCTCACGCGGTCTAATGCGGGTCGTATGATCGACAAAGAAAACCGGACAACGCTATGATGGAGAAGTGTTTCTTCTTTGTTGTTGCCTTTCTGATTCATGGATTTGTCGACGACGGAGTGGTTTTTGGGCTAGACAATGGCTTAGGAAGTCTTAGTTTTGCTTCGTGGAGCACGTAGCTGGCAATTTGATTGATCTTCAGTTAACAGAAAGAGAAAGTGGCGGTCGGGAAATGTCACTTTTAATTTTTCCATTTTCTCTTAATCGAACAGTGGGCTGGATGGACTGGGAAAGGTTCAGATGCAACGTAAATTGCATCAAATATCCCAACGACTGCATAAGGTGAGCAATGCGTTATAGATAAACCTTCATCAAATCTATTTTAGATGTGTCATTCCACAAGTTGCAAGTAACTCAGGGGTTTATTACAACAGTTAGTAATCAGCAGAGGTTGACTCAGACTCACACATACACGTACAGTGTCGACATTGGCTTTTCCGGGGGGAAGGGTTGATCCTCACAACACCCCCGGGACACCCGGGGGTTTGGGAGGGGATTCGTAGAGTTTGGAGAAATAATTTTCTTTATGGGGTAGAGGCAGTCTTCGGTGTATTCCATATTTTGTCCCACCATTTCTTGCTTGAATAGAACTTTCCACATTTTTTTCCAACTTTGGCATGGACAAATATTAGGGTAAAACCATTGACTGCACTGGAAAGAGCACCTTTAAATTAGTAAACTTGCCAAGTTTGAAAGCGATTTGTTGAAATCTAATGAAGATATAGCTCTTCAAAGTCGCGAAATTTTAAAGACATTTGTACGGTGGGGGCACAAACTTGCCTCCCACCATACAAATGTCTGTAAATTTTTGCCACTTTGTGGAGCTACCATAAAATTCCGAAAATAAGCCCCTCCATGTATGAGTCCCTCCAAATAAAAGCCCCCAAAATCATAATGCAAAAAACCCTCTGCTAAATCGCCCCTCCAAATATAAGCCCCCGCGGGGGGGCTTGTACTTGGAATTTGCCCTCGAATACAAAGTAAAACAAAGCAAAAATGGTAAATTTCCTTCCCACTACAAGCTAGTAGCCCAATCGATTTTGAAACACAAATTTCCCCCCTTTGATAAGCCCCTCCGAATATAAGCCCCTCAAAAAGGGCGTTTGAAAAATATAAGCCCCGGGGCTTATTTTCGGAATTTTACGGTACATCTTCACTCGCTTAAGGTGATTCCATAGTAAAAGAACCTAACATAGATTGTAGCTAAAACTTGGTACACTGATGTAACAAGTCAAGAAGATGATAAAAAAGTAATAAAAAGTGGGGGTCACCGTGCTCGTTTTGACGTCACAATGCTGACAAATACGGCTATTTAGGACCCTTTTACAAAAACCGTGGGCAGCCCAAAACTAGACAAAAAGGGAAGATTTTTTCGATGATGCATGTGGCATCACACAGAATTTGACTTTAATGTATTGTTATCCACTTACGTACCAGAAAAATGCCTTTTAATCCCTTGTTGTTACTTTACGCTCCAAAGTAGAATTAAATTGGAAGCACGCTTTTCGACCCGTGATGGCTCAATCCGTACAATTTAGTAAAATTGCCAAAAAACTGAACATAGATTTGTGCCAATTTTTTGCTCATTGAAAGAAAGCACTGTCCTTATTAAAATCATGAAATAAAAAATGGGGGTCACCGTACTCGTTTTTGCGGTAGAGCTGCAGAAAGTGCGCACGAAACGCATTTTCTCCGATTTTTGAGAGAGGAATGGGGCGAGTTTCAAAATAGAATGTATGTGAAAGGGGGAGGAAAGTATTAAAAAATCCGTTTTTACAGAATTTACATCGAGATATCACATTTAGGACACAATGTGATATAGAAAGTGTTTAAATGAAAATCAAAGTGAGTAAGCACAAGTTAAACACCCACTATCGAGATTCTCCGAGAGGAGGTCGAACTCAGCAACACGCGTACTGCTTACTTTATGCACATTCCCAACACACTGAGTCTCACCTCGGCAAGAAACAACAGCAAGCAAAAATTCCAATAGCGTTTCTCTTCAGTCAACTTCATTTTAATAATATTACTTCACATGCTCTTTTTTACGGCGGCCATCTTGTTATGCGCAGTAAGAGATGCGCAGTGCAAAACTAGGGAATCACCTTAAGACGTATCACTTTCAAACTTGGCAAGTTTACTAATTTTAAGGTTCTCTTTCCAGTGGTGGCGACGTAGTTTCCCTAACTCATCCGCTAAAAAAGTTGAAAAAACCGTGGAAGGGTCTGTTTGTTCTTAGTATTTAAACACTTGCTCGCCAGCCTGGGGGCACCAAACCCACTGAAACATAAATATGTATGCGACAAATGAATTAGAAAACAATATGGTGAAAGGAAAACATAATCAATATGTCTCCGGCCTGGTGCCACAAATGACTTTCCCTACGGGGAGCTTCTAGCCGATAAACAACCTCGTCCCCAGGGCTTTTCCCTTAAACAATGGGTGGGGCGGGAAAAGGCCCTGGCATCGGCTGGTCACATGTCCCCTCGTACACCTTAAAATCCTGGGTGTAATAAATTAGCGCTAGGTGAAAAGCTAAAATTATGCGTAACCTCACAGCGCGCGATGTTGGGCGGCCTTTTATATCTCTTGACGATTAACGATACTGGCTATGGTATTTTTTTGCTTTTCTCCGATTTCGATGAAGGGGACAGCGAGTAACATTTATAACAACGTTTATAGAGCGATATAAGTACATATAAATGACAAACAAGCTATCGTACATGCGTAAAGTTTGTACTGGAAAAGTCCGTTTTCGCGACTCTTCTGATATTTTATTTCATTTCTCGCGAAGTGGACCGCCGTACACAGCCTAGTTCTATTTACCTTAACTCTCACCCATTTTTTTAAGGGAAAAGCCCTGGGGACGAGGTTGGCCGATAAATAACTTACATATATTCTGGCGTCTCTACCCCCAGGGAGAGGAGTTCGACTAATAGTCGCGGGTCGCGAGTCGCGGGTCCAAAGTCGTGGTCGCGGGTCCAAAGTCGCGGTCGCGGGTCCAATGTCGCGGTCGCGGGTCCATTGTCGCGGTCGCGGGTCCAATGTCGCGGTAGGGGAAAATGATTTGGGGTTCGAGGTAACAGCTGAGTGAAAACGACTGATATGAACACAATAAAAAGGGAAAAATCTTTTTTATGCACGATACTCTACGGTAGCCAATTTACAGGTTACGGATGTCAGAGTCAACAAAATAATGTCTTAAGAAAAGACCTAAAAGAAAAAGCTGGCCGACTTTTGTGTTCACCGCAAGTTTATTTTGTTTTTCTTTCTATCGGGCCCAGTTATGTGTAAATTCAGCTTTGAATATACTTATGCATAACAGTATCTGATAAGAAAAATGTTACCATAAGTTACCATTGCTTTCTTCTTGTCGATGAATTGCTCACAAATGCTTAGGGGTTCATTTACTGAAAAATATGCGATACACTTCATAGACTACAGATTATAAACGTTACAACAGCTTAAAGCCTTTTTTTTAAAAAAAGCGAACTCGGGCTCAAAAAGCTACGAGTCTGTCGGTAGAAGAAACGAGAACTCTTATATTTAACAAATGTTTTCGGCAAAACTGAAAGAAAATGTAAATAGGCGCATGAAACTTCATTCAAACGGTATTCAAGGCATGAATTTAATATGGAACAAGTAATAATCCACAGAAAGGAGTCTGTTCTTGGAAGCAAGATTTTCGCTTAATGCTTTTATTTTTACAACTGAGACGGCAACCCAGAGTGTTCAATATAACTTCTTGTTCTCTTCACCTAAATGACAACCAGGACAACCTGACAATAGGAAGCCATTCAAAGTGCGTCTCGGTCAAATCTTGAAAACATGCATCGTAAATAACTAAGTGAGTAAGTAGGTAAGGAAATAATAACGCCCGATATCATGAAGCTGAAAAAGAAAGTAAACCAGACACTGAAAACGGTAAGTTATCAACTCCACCAGAGCTAAGAAAAGACAATAAATTAGGTAAGTAATTCCAGATTCCAGGTACTGGATTCAAGTCTTTGTCAGTAGAACCAAGAGACTATGGGCGCGATCCATTCAACCAAAATTCCAACCGGTCCGACCGGGAAAAGTGGTCCACCTCAAAATGTGGACCCGTTTTTTCGAACATTTTCCGGTTGGACCGAACTGATCCATTGAGTTTTGGACCGAAATTTCCGGAAAATTTGGTTGAATGGATCGCGCCCTGTGATCTATTCTCTCTTGGTAGAACTTGGATTCCGGATTTCAATCGTTAGTGGGAACAAACTCCTATCTGTGGACAAGAGAGGATAAAGCTCGTGCTTTATCCCCTCTTTCTGTGGATTATTACCTGTTTCTATATTAAATTCATGCCTTGAATACCCACTTGAATGTACTTTACTGGCACTTCAAGCCCAACGTCTCTCCTCCTCTTTCCAGTTACTTGTGCAAAGAGTTTATTTTGGGAGTTTGCGACCAGGAAGTTTTTCAACAAGCGTTTTCTTTATTTTTGCCGAAAACATTTGTTAAAATTGAAACAGTTCTCGTTTCTTCTACCGACAGACTCGTAGCTTTTCGAGCCCGAGTTAGCCTTTTTTAAAAAAGTTTTTAAGTTGTTGTAACGTTTATAATTTATAGTCTATGAAGTGTATCGCACATTTTTCAGTGAATGCACCCCTAAGAATTTGTGAGCAATTCATAGACAAGAAGAAAACAATGGTAACTCATGGTAACATTTTTATCAGATACTGTTATGCATAAGTACATTCAAGCTGAATTTATACATAACTGGGCCCGATAGAAAGAAAACAAAATGAACTTGCGGTGAACACAAAAGTCGGCCAGCTTTTTCTTTTAGGTCTTTTCTTGAGACATTATTTTGTTGCCTCTAACATCCGTAACCTGTAAATTGGCTACCGTATATAGAGTATCATGCATAAAAACGATTTTTTGCCCTTTATATTTTTTTCATATCACTCGTTTTCACTCAAGTACCTCGAACTCCAAATCATTTTCCCCTGCCGCGACATTGGACCCGCGACCGCGACTTTGGACCCGCGACCGCGACTTTGGACCCGCGACCGCGACTTTGGACCCACGACCGCGACATTGGACCCGCGACCCGCGACCCGCGACTATTAGTCAAACTCCAGGGAGAGGGATTTAGTCTATTGGTTCATGTACTCTTTTGTTTCACCCTAGCTAAAAACAAATCTTAGGGTATCCTGGTGGTCAACCCTTAAAAAAGCCAATAATGAGTGCAAAATGGGTTTGAAATTTACACAAGAAAGTGATAAATTGCTCTGATTTTAATCATTACAGTGAACGCTTGATTAAACAACAGGCAGACCGCCTTGCTGAGGATGGCTATAAAGATGCTGGGTATGAGTATGTCAGCATTGATGTGAGTGTTGCAATATTTTATTATTAACTAAGCTAGGAAGGATGATGGGGTATAGTGCAGGAACTAAAGCCAGGAGATTACGGGGACAGGAATTCTAAAGTACATGAAATATCAGGCATGTGCCTAAATCATACCATCCAAATTAAAAAGAAGAGCCAAAGAGTACTAGGAACAATTGACCAGAGCTGGGTCTGAATGTCAACAAATTTGATTCTGAGTGTATCAAGGAGGTTTAATATATGCCATCACAGCAATTATTGTCAGTAATAATGATTTAAATAAATAAATGTAGTAAAATAATGCTATTCAAGGCAAGAATTCAATTGATTTTTCATTAAAACTTGTGATAAGTTGAAAAGAAGTAGTTAGTGTACAGTTTACAAATGGGTAATTAATAAACGAATTTAAAGTTTATATGATTTGATTTTGTGTAAGGAAAAGGACCTGCCTGCATGTGGGCACAACAGACACACATACACACATGATTTGAATGCTTATAAAGTAAAACAAATGTTTAAGTGTGCAGTCTTCCAACCTATAAATATATAAATTAATTAATAATAATTCATAATGTGCGGTTCCAGAAAATATCCATACCCCCCCCGCCCCACGGAAGGGATCGGATTTTCCAGGGGGGAGGGGGGGTCAATTTGCCTAATTTTCCAGTGGGGAGGGGGGGGGGTCACCATAGGGAAATATTTCCAGAGGGTTCTCGTGACGCGTAAGAGAGTAACAAAGAAAAAACACAAAAATTTACCACGACAATTTATTTGCGAAGATATAAAACACGACGAAAGTTAAAGAGCTACTAAACCTATGGATTAATGGACATAGCGAACATATTTTGTCAACGTCCCTTGGCGTGACCTCTCTCGCGAAAACGTTCCTTTCGAACGGATTTGGTATCCGTTTGAACGGCTTGGGGTATCCGTTCAAAAACAATTGTCATCCGTTCGAACGGCTTGGGCTATCCGTTTGAAAAAAATTGTCATCCGTTCGAACGGCTTGGGATATCCGTTTGAAAAAATTGTTATCCGTTCAAACGGCTCGGGCTATCTGTTCGAAAAAGAATTTGTCGACCGTTCGAGCGACTGAAGCTATCTGTTGAAAGATAAATTTTAGCCGAGTTTCCATCCCAAAACCATTTCGTCGCTAGCCACTCGCGTCGAACGATCTGTTATTCTCCAGGTCACGTTACGAAGTTTGTTTACAAAAGCATCATATATGAAATAGTTACGGATCTCTGCTCCTTTGTAGCCATCTTCGCTTTCATATTATCAATCGATTATCGACAGTATCGACACACGTTTTATTCAATACTTAAGATTTTTTTTCAACAAGTTTCCCGAAAAAAATATTTTTTATCTTTTACGCTTTTGTAGTTTATGAGCCAGTGGAACGAAACTTCATTTTCCTTGCATGTCGAAAACACAAAACACGAAAAATAAATTTTTTCAATTGGTTGCATTTCTTCTTCTCTTGACTGTTTCTCTATCACAAACAAGTTACACGAGTCTTTTCCAGCACGTTAAATTTTGCGTGACAATTCATCGGCGACGCGCAATTTTACTGCAAACTCAAATATGTAAATTTCGTAGAACGAAATTCGATACTCACACTGTCTTCTCGCGCCACGAGGTCCTGATCTCTTTAATTATACTTCTTCAAGTGATGCTTTCTTCGACTTCTTCTTGACGCAGTGCGAGAAAAGTACAGTTATGTTTCCTACGCGACCTTGCAATTCATTTGCAGAATTGTAGAATTCAATAGAAATTACATGAAACGCACAAAATTTGTCTGTGACGTGAGCGCATAAGGAGTTCACATGAGGAATTCGCTTATCTGTTATACAATTCAACAGAAAATATACGAAACTCACAAAATTTGGCATCGTAGGGAACAAAACTACTTCCTTGTTCACTTCAATTAGAGATAGCAAAATTTCCAGGGGGTGTACGAAAATTTTGGAAATTCCGGAGGGGAGGGGGGGTCATACGGCAAATCCCTTCCGTGGGGGGGTATGGATATTTTCTGGAACCACACAATATATTTAATTAACGGCTATGGCAGTGATTTTGTTACAAATAGTTATGGTGAGTCCTAGGACTCATCTTGCGAACAAATCATGAGTCCCACTACAGAATCATTGAGTCCCTGTTCAAAAAATAACAAGTCCTAAATTGAAAATGCTTGGCCCTTTATGTGACCAGATAGATAAAATATATTCTTTTGTAAACCACACTGAAAACTAAAAGAAATATGCGTGGTTAAACAACAGACACAAGAACAGCCACAGAAATCACACGAACAGGATATTCTACAAAAACATCCTCAGATCGATCAGTTGATCAATATTTGCATCCTACGGGATGCATGCCATGAACTTTTGTGCATCTTTGGAGATTTTTATGCATCAGGGACACAGGATGCAGAGTTAACAAAATTATACTGCTATGACTGACTTTTTTTAGGACTGTTGGTCAAACAAGAAACGAGACCCTCGTGGTAGTCTTCGGCCAGACAGGACCAGATTCCCCAGTGGAATGAAGGCCCTTGCAGACTATGTGAGATGTTTAATATATAGTACATTATTAATTTTGTGTATATAGTTAAGGTAATTCCCATCAAAAGGACATTTCATGCTGGTTTTTTACCCTATGTGCCTGTTTATGTAAGTGAAGTTGCAATGAACGTTATGCGCACTAAGTGATGTGCAGTGCAAAACAAGGGAACTACCTTAAGTAGTTTTCTACCTTTTGACTGCAGATGTACTGTGGGTTTATCATTAGTTAGGGGAATGGGGCGGTGGTACATACTCAAGAAGGTTTTGGGTGGCTGTATCTTGCAAAGGTCTCTAAATTTGCACTCCATTTTAAAGGATTTGCATTGAAGGCAAAGCTACATGTATGTTTAAGAGTTACAGTAGATAGTAGAAAAGGCATACATGGGCCAAGGAGGTGCAAAGATGGCTGTAGTGTTATCCCTGATTTGAATTGTTAATATGTTAGCACCAAGAAGTTTTGCAACTCTTCCATGGAGGGGATGCTAGTCCATAATTGCAGGGTTCTCCCTTGAGCAGCTGGTTTCCAGTATCCATTTTTAAATAAGAATTTAAAATATAAACACCTGGGTGGAGAAAGATAAGGTGGAGCAACGATTTTTGTCTCAGGAAACAGTGACTTAGTGATTTCTATATATTTATTTCCTAGCTTAATACTATGAATTTGTGTTTCCAAAAACTGGTATAATAATTATGCCCTGTTCTAGATGTCTCAGGTGGTGTATCCTGTCTAGATCAAACTCCCCACAGAGGTCAGCAAGCCATATCACTGTATATAAGCACAGTGAGGGAGAACCCTCCCGCCTGGATTAAGTGCAGTGAAGGTGTTTGCAAAATCAAATAAATTATTACCCCTGAGAACATGAATTTCCTTGGCAAAAACGTTTTGTACTCTATTTTGATATTAATTGTCTGTAAATCAAAACAATTTGATATTCCAAATTAATTAAAATATATTTTTGTTTAAGAGTTGCAGCACTCTTAGGTTTTGTGATTTTGCTAATTGTTTTACTCTTGTGATACACAGTTGCATGGCAAAGGACTGAAACTTGGATTGTATGCCGGTATGTGTCATTTACTTATCAAAATGTTAATGAGAAAGCTGAATCAAGAACTTATCATTAGCCATCCCCCCCAGCTTTAAACCAGGGGTCATCTGGTGGCCTTGTCCAATTCTGTGATTTTGAAAAGCAGAATCTCGTCAGTATTTTGAGAGTTAGAATCACGCCAGTCTAGTCATATGAGAAAAAGGGTGGCTTAAGAAATAGCTTTTAGTTGTATTTAAATTAATTATCTTTTTATTTGTGGATCAGATTATGGTTTTCTGACATGTGGTGGTTATCCAGGAAGTATTGAACACATTGAACAGGATGCAAAGGTAAAATATTGAATTTAAAATATATTTTTAAACACACTTTTGAGCCCTTCAAATATTACTGTATGTTACTTGTTTATTACCTCAGATAGTTTACCCAGGGGCAGAATTGCTGAGACTTACAAAACTGGAGGAAGGAGGGTAATGGTAATCTACAGAAAAAAGATTCAGTTATTGAGGATGTAGTGTTTTCAGTTGCTTTTTATGTAATGTAGGAAAACATAAAACCGGGCTTTAGAAATTCATATTAAGTTGAAGAAGAAAAAGCTGACACTTTGCCTTTTTATTGATAACACAGACCTTTGCCAGCTGGGAAATTGACTACCTCAAAGTTGATGGTTGCTTTTCTGACCCATCTACGTTTGATGTCAGTTACCCCAAGTTCACAGAGGCTCTAAATGCAACTGGACGGCCAATCCTACTAAGTTGTGAATGACCAGATTACCAGCAAAAAATTGGCATCAAGGTGTGTAAATCAAACAGTCAGATGCAGGGCGGTAAAGTAGAGCTAATTGGGAGCATGACATCCAACAAGATTAATTAATTTCTTTAAAATACTTTTTCAGAAGGTGTTAATAATTAACTAGAATTCGAACATCTTCTCTATTAGCATATTTTTCATAAACAGTAAAAACCTCATCTGCATGTAACAAGAGAAAAATCAAGTCCTTTGAATGCTTTACAAGTATTTCTGAGACCGCCCCCTGTGATAAATCACTAATGAATATAAGTCCTGCTTTGTAAGGGACTTGGCTTGCTCCTTCTTTTTTTTCAGGGATTTACCAACATCCACCATCAAAAAGATAATAATTATACATATTCTGTATCAGCCTCTCACCACACTTCTTTCAGTGGGAATTTAAGTTTTATTACTTTTATTTGCTTCATTTATGTTTTCTGATCCCTTCCTCTCCCTAAGAATTTTCAATGCATGTCCTCAGTGGACCTAAAAGTATGTTTTGTCACCAACAACTGCATATTCAATAATTATTTGTCATCTTCTGGAAATTTTAAAAGATAAAAACTTTTTAGCAATTATGATTATAGTAGGCAGCATGGCTGAGTGGTCAGTGTGTCGGACTTGCAATTACCTGGTGGTCCCGCTCTGGTCTCTGGCTAAGCCGGATTTTAAATCCTTGGCCACTCTTGTAAATAGCCAATTGGTTGTCTCCTGGCAGTTGGGGTTTTTAATCTTGTTACGCTTAATTAATTATATTTGAATTATTTGTTTCTAATTATTTGAGTGGAATGCCTGTAAACTAGCTGGATAAATGAGATCAACTATAAACAAACCTTTAACCTTCTTTTTTAAACTTTTAATACTATTATTCAGTTGGACAAAACCTTCTGGTTTAACACCTATTTAACATCTCTAAAACATAGTTTGTTTTAATTTAGCTTATATAAGAGTTCTCTCTCATTACAGCCTGACTATGCTGCTATAGCTAGAAACTGTAACACCTGGAGAAATTATCATGATGTTCAGGTTGGGTGTTAATATTTTATCATTTAATGTTTTTGGTTAGCTGAATTTGGTTTTCAATGCCGTATTTAGTGATTGCCAGAATGGGACTGTTTAATAATGAGAAACACATGATTAATGACACGTTGTGGGTTGAGTGCAAATGAAAAGGTCTCCAGATTAAAGTTCTTCAGAGGTTGGCCTTCTTTGTACTCATGACACTTTGCTGTTGGCAGTCTAAGAACATTAATTTTCATTTGCTCATGTTTAAGTTTTGATACAAAGCAAGATGAAAAAACCCTGAATACCAACTTGACGTAAATAGTATATATACATGTATCACTGACATTAATTTTTGAAATTGCAGGACAAATGGTCAAATGTCTTACGCACTGTTGATCACTTTGCTGAAAAGCAAGACACTTTTACAGCAGCAGCAGGACCTGGCCACTGGAATGATCCAGATATGGTGAGAATACTGTGTACAGTCATTCTGAGTCTTCTCTGAGGCAGGGGCGGGGGACAGCCGGGTCAAAAGTTACAATGGAGGTGAAAAGTCTCACTTAAGGTGACTCGACCCAGTTTTTTTTTTGGGGGGGGGGTACCATCCTACTTTGAAGCTCTCTGGTATCCCCACCTTTACTTTTATCGTAAGTCTAACACATAGAATGGATAACATGTAGATCAATCTACAATATAACATAAAATTTTTGGCGATCGGAGTAAATGTCACGTGGTTATAATGCCACGCCCCTTTGAGGTCTGAGTCAAAAATCTGCTGTTGCCGGCATTTTTTCGTGAAAATCTCTCGGCTACACATAGTGCGCATTTAATAGTGCCTTGCGCTGAACAGAGTTTCACCAAAATCACAAAGACCCAATTCAAGAAATTCAGCGGTTTCCAAATTTAGGTCATAATTCCCCGAGCAGGCACCCTAGTAACTCGCGCGTATATTAAGGACAGTACTTACAGTTCAAATATACAGTCAGTATATTAGAAAAAAATTTCGATTTGCTCAAACTGGGGCCGCGAGGAATTGGTAGGTAATGATGACGTTTCTATTGTTTGCGCCCGCAAGTACGAAATGGATAGGATGACGTAAAGACAGAAAATCCCGAAGGGACCGCTCAGGTAGATTTTGTGACATTTATTGTGCAGTCATACTTCGATACTCTTTTGCGCCGTTACGCAGTGACATTCTGTGGAGCAGTTGTTTTGAAAGTTATGGACCAAAAGACAGTCGTTAAGCGCAGGGGAGGTTATAAGGGGGCGTCGATAAAACCCGGAACATGGAACATCCCGGAACATTCCGGAACATCCCGGAACATCCCGGAACATGCAAAAATAAAAAATAATTTTCATGAAAAAAAATTAATTAAATAAAATGATAATAATAACATAGTTTTTGTAAAAATTAATAATAACAAAATAACATAAAATAACCAAAAAAGAGAGAAAAAAAAAACACCAAAAATAAAGAAATGATTAAGAAAAAGAAACTCATCTCCGAGTATGAGAAACAATATTTTGTCGCAAATAATTTGTTGGGCGAGTGAGGGTCCATGCAAATGACAGTAATGAGTGAAGGCTTGCTTCTAAATTCAAAATATATTAAAATGGGTAGCGAGGGGGGGAATTTTCAAGCTTTATTGACACAGCTACCTCTTGTAAATGTTTGCCATGACGGCTTTGCGACTGTAAGAAGAGCTTTGGGGTAGGCTTTTGTACGTTATGCTAGCATTTTTTTGAGCATTTTAGTGAGGCAAAAGCATTGAGCATTATTCGAGCATTTTAGTAGCCTTTTGCCCGGAAAATTAATTTTTGCGAGAAAATAAAATAGAAATTAACTTTTTTCAGGAGCCCAAGCCCCATGAGCTCCTGCTTTTTTAAACAAAATGAAGACTAAAATTCAAAATTCACAAAAAAACCTAATACAGCCAGTTTTTTGGCTGTATTTATGAACTTGTACACGTTGTCGTTGTTACTTGCAACACTTGAACGTTTTTGTAAGTGTAAACTTTGAAATTAATTTTAAAAAAACCGTTTGGGGGCTCGTCACTTTGGACTTTAGTAACTTAATTACCGACTCGGCTAGACATGCCATACTGCACCGACATTTCAGACCATCGCAGAACCGTAAATGGTTAACCGCCAAATGATTAACTCATGGCAAACAATTACAAGAGGTAGCTGTGTGAGTAAAGCTTGAAAACCCCCCTCCTCGCGACCCATTTTAATATATTTTGAATTTAGAAGGAAGCCTTCACTCATTTCTGTCATTTGCATGGACCTTCACTCGCCCAACAAATTATTTGCGACAAAATATTGTTTTCTCATACTCGGAGATGAGTTTCTTTTTCTTAATCATTTATTTGTTTATTTATATTTTGTTATTTTATGTTATTTTGTTATTATTAATTTTTACAAACACTATGTTATTATTATCATTTTATTTACTTAATTTTTTTTTTCATGAAAATTACTTTTATTTTTTCATGTTCCGGGATGTTCCGGGATGTTCCGGCATGTTCCGGAATGTTCCGGAATGTTCCATGTTCCTGGTTTTATCGACGCCCGTTATAAGGTGCGTTTAACTGTGTATATATAAACACTTGGAGAATTTGCCAGACCTTTGATTTATATTGGAAACCTTGCCAGACACTCTTTCTATCTCTTTGACCGGAATAAGACTCAGCCCCAAACAAGCAAGACGAGTGAACAAAGGCTAGCTTATCTGTCTAGCAGATTGATGGACATTTACGGAAAATCGTCGACAATCAAATTCTGTGCTGACTTATTCCCTGCTCACAGATGTTCTTCCGTTATAAAGTTTCAAATAAGACTAGAATGCGCTAGCGTGAATCGATCAAACGTCCTTTTAATTTCTAAGGCTTACTTTTCGGCAAATCAAATGAACTGAATGTAAAAAGGGAAAGAGAAATAACAAAAAATTCAACTTCTAATTAAATCTTTTCTTATGGTTTAGAATAAACTATTCTCGAAACTGAGAATGTTTTGATCAAAGCTGTGTAAATCGAGCTGAAACTGTGCATGGAACCTTGCGTTTCCTGTATTTATCTCACCTATATGTATGGAATATGTGTGAAAAACTTAATAATGAAAAAACTTGATAATGTCACAGTTTTTCAATGACCATTAAATTCAGAATCCGGGTAGTTAGTTAATCAATTGTGGCCCTGAAAAAATTTGAAGGAAAAAAAACTACGAATTTTTAAGAAAATGCTTTTTTCGTGAGAAGGACTCTTAAACGCTGACAAACGTCAACAAATAGCTAAAACTATAATTTCTATATGTTTGCTTTGCTCGAAATCGCGCGCATTTACAAGCCCCTAAAGCTTTTTGCTGACTTGCAAGGACCCATCTGTTATAACGATCCCCAAAATAAAGGGTTAAGTCTCATAGTTTATAAGATATAATCGTGTAAAGTTTGCTTATCATTTTCGCATGAATTATGACCTAAATTCGGAAACCGCTGAATTTCTGGAATTGGGTCTTTGCGATTTTGGTGAAACTCTGTTCAGCGCAAGGCGCTAATGCGCACTATGTGTAGCCGAGAGATTTTCACGAAAAAATGCCGGCAACAGCAGATTTTCGACTCAGACCTCAAAGGGGCGTGGCATTATAACCACATGATATTACTCCGATCGCCAAAAATTTTATGTTATATTGTAGATTGATCTATATGTTATCTATTCTGTGCATGTTAGACTTACGATAAAAGTAAAGGTGGGGATACCAGAGAGCTTCAAAGTAGGATGGTACCCCCCGAAAAAAACTGGGTCGAGTCACCTTAAGATCACTTAACTAGGAGGACTTGCCACTTCTCCTCTTCGGCCCCCAAATAATGTTGAATTTTCAGGAAGATGGGTACAGATAAGTTTGAAAAACTGGGGGGTTTTTGGCTTTTATGCATCACATGCCTAAACATGGTCAAGATGAAAAGAGTTGAGTTAGGCAGGTTACCTTATCCACCTAAGGTCCCTGTGACTTCCGTGTTAACCTTTTAAGTCCCAATGGTGACCAACATCAATTTTCTCCTAACAATATCCATACATTGTCAAGAGATTAGGTTATGAGAATTAACAAATAATCACCAAAGAGAAAATGCTTTGATCTTTTCTTAAATTCTCTCAACTAATTCTTAAAGGAAATGCATAAGGATCAGTTTGGAGAATTTGTATGTTGATATTGGGACTTAACAGTCACAATGTAAACTGGTTTTTATCATGATGCAATGATTCACACTGTATTTGCTATCTAAAATGTGTGATAGAGCGTGTAGGTTTTGCTTTTGCTAGCATGTTAAGCTGTCAGTGGGAGAATCACACTTTTAAATATTATTATATTTCTTCTCTCCATACAGCTTATAGTTGGTGATTTTGGGCTGAATTTCGAACAGTCAAAAGCACAATTTGGTCTTTGGTCAATCCTAGCTGCAGTAAGTTTTAAGAATGTGTGAGCATTATATTTTCAGTCAGAATGAGTTTGTTTGATATAATTCATCAAGGAGGATTAAGTATTCTATATGTGTTTCATAACATGGCTCTCTAGAGAGTTTTCAAAATAATAAAATATTTCAATGTCACTGCTGTTGATTTCTACTCATTACTTTTTTCTTTTACTGTGTGATGATATCAGTGATAGTTTAAAGCTCATTATCTGCACAGAAATTTTTCATGACTGCAAAAACAAAATGAAATAATTATTATAATTTTACAATTATAATAATTACTTTATGTAAATATTTTTAAAGTAATTTTTAAGAATAATAATTTGGCTTTAATTTTTTTAATATTTTTATAAGCTGGGAACAGTACAATCATTTGTGCCACTATCATCTTTTTTTATCTTCAGCCTCTTGTTATGTCCAATGATTTAAGGAGTATTTCAACACAGGCCAAAGATATTCTTCTGAACAGGTAAAAGTATTTTAATTAACTAAGCATGAAACAATGATGAGCAGTTTTGAAAATCTGAAAATGTACTGGCAGTTGTCTCCATTCACAGATGCACTGTTTCTATTTCTTTCAAACAATAATCAGAGAGTACTTACAGAGCTCCTGGAGAAGGAACATAAATTTGAATTCAATTTTCACTATAATAATTATTTTCACTATAAATAATTATAATTATTATTCCCCTTTCCTTTCAGAGAAGTAATTGCTGTTGATCAAGACAAGCTTGGAATAATGGGTCGGAGAGTGGTGTGTATGATTCTCCCATTAGTTGTTTGATTACAAAATGAAAAATAACATAACAGAGTATTGCTTAACTCTCCCTTTTGTCTCCTCAGATGAAACAAAACACTTCGGAAGTGTGGTCACGACCTCTTTCAGACGGCAGTGTTGCTGTTTTGTTATTCAATCGCAAATCTGATGCAGCTATTATAGAAGCAGATTTTAAGCTGGTATGTATCAACTGTTGATGATAGAGATGGTGATGCTTGATGATAGTAATAATGGTGATGATAAGTCTGATATTGATGATAATGTCAAATGTGGCAAAGGACAAGGCAAATGATAATCTAGACTAGCCCACAAGTAGACTTTTTGAGCCACGAAGTCAAAGATTGAGCAAACATCAAAAGATGTGACTAGTTTATTTGTCTTGCCTACAGTGATTCAAATTAATTTAATATGCATATTGTGGGGCAAAAATGTTTCAGAGTCTCAGTTATCGATGACTGGCAAGTACAGCTGGCAAGTGCAACACCAAATTTGAAGGAAGTAGTGTGTCTTTTGTACACAGAGTGTCCTGAACTCATCAGGCAAGAAATTTCAGTTTCCCTCCTGACTGACCACCCGTTAAAACAGACTTTTAGGAAGTCTAATGATGATGATGATGATGATGATGGTTAAGTACATAGTAATGGTGATTGAGGGTGATGATGAGTGTTAGTGTCAGTGGCAATGATGGTTGTTTGGACAGAGCAGAAGTGTACCATTTTTTTGACTGCCTGTTTCATTCAAATCGAATCAGAATCAGATTAAAGTCAGCTAAGGACAAGGCATCATTCACATAAAATATCACTTGAGATTTCAAGAAACAGAACAGTCACATTCCTACAAGCCAACATTAAATCATCTAGTTTTCTCACTCTCAGGTCTAGGCTGCAAAAAAAAAATCAAAACCATACCCATTGTTCTCACATCCCCTTTCTTTTTTGGTTTTGCAGATCGGAATTACATCAAGCACAGCCAAGGCTAGAGACCTGTTTGCTCATAAAGACCTGGGAAAGTTTACAAAGTTCTTTAGTTCCAAAGTTAACCCAACAGGGGTGGTGATGGTTAAATTGACTCCAGTTGAAGATGTTTTTTACAGAGAGCTGAGATTCATTTGAAATAAAAGGCTTTGTTTATCGCCTTTACAGTTTTTTTTTAACTTGTGGATGAAATCTGAAACTGTGACCTCTCTTAAGCAAGCAATGGAGCAGTATTTTTCTTTAGTTGTCTAGTTTATAATAGCTGTAGCTCTATTTGTTTTAAAACAATAAATTAACACTGATCAATTCAACAGAGATGGCTATTTTACTAATTTTTGGGTCTGTGGATGAGATCCTAAACAAAGTTTTAATAATTTAGTGTCAAACATTCAGATGATGGCTTTGGAGTAGGAATTGATGATGATCCTGCTGATAAAATTTAATTTTATGTAGTCACTTATTAAAAGAAAGTTTACAGTGTTGTTATAGCAAAACAGAAAGAGGGGGAAAGTATTTTTTTGTGTCAAAATCCAAGTAGCAGCTAACACACTCTATTCGTCTAGGCACATTGACTAAGACATCTACTTCTGTAATAAAATTTAAGAAAAGGTAAAAGTTGAGTAACTCACGATGAATTGCCAACTGCATTTGTGGCTCTTCAAAATCAAAAATTCTGGAATGTTATTAAGTTACATGTTTTGAACAGACTCCAATGATAACTTCTCAACTTTCATTCTTTCTTAAAGGTAGCAAGGCTGCTTTTTGTTTTTAGTAAGTACCAGCTGTTTAATTTAATTTTTGTTTTCTTGCCACTTTTGGTTAAAAAAAATAAAAGATTCTGCTGGTACACCAAAAACTGACCCAAGCTATTGTTTAAAATTGTCTATATTTTTTCCAGAGTCAAACAACACAGTCAGGCAGAGGAATCTAAATTTTCTAACACTTCTGGAAACTTTTCCATTAACACTACCATCAATCGATCTATGTATTCCTTTAGGGAACGATTCTCACCAGTTAGATCTAGAAAAAAATGGAAAGGCACCAATTATTGCAAGTTTATTACTTTCTTATATGGTGCTAATGTGGAGCATACATATTACATCAATTCATTTGCTCCAGGAAATTTTGCCACAAATTTTGCCAGGGTGGTGCAGCCCAAGAAATTCACCTAAAAAAGGTGAATACAAAACTTAGGTGCAATCTTGCTCTACTATATAAGCAATCCTGACATATTTAGGATAACATTTTCTTTGGCTTTCCATAGGGACGAACACCCTTTCACATTCTTTGGCCTATAACTGGCCAGAAATTTGAGATAAAAAAGTGGGGAAAAAAAGCTTGATGTTGTGAGAATATCATCTTCTGAAAAGGTTGCCACAACTATAAATTTATTGTTTTCGTTTCATTATCTTTTCTGTACACGTTCCACTTAGTACAAGAAAACACAGGACTTACCAACAATTTCCTCTCTGAGATTGGTTATCTCAGTCAGCAGTTCTGCACGTGGCACTTTGCCCTTTCTATCCAAGGCAGAAATGAGTGGTTCTGAAGGATTAAAATAAACAGTAATGTACACAACATTTTGCCAATATGCACTACACATGTACATATAAATGTTTTTGTAGGATGCAGATGTTAATTGGCAACAGTGGTAAGTGGGCCATAAGATGCAAGGGAAGAAGGGGGAAGACTGTGCTATACTCCATGCACGTGGTGATGTCAAGTCATTGGTGTTGCCTCCTTCATCCTTAAACATCAGGGGAAATGGATGTAAAAAACTTGTTTGTGACATTGTCTGAAAAGAGCTTGAGTAGGGTTAATACGCCACAGTGTTGTGGTCTATTTGACTTGCGCCATCAGTGGTCCTAGTGGACAAGGTGAGCTCAAACAAGGACTGAAGCAGCTGCACAGTGTGCCTTTACATGCTGACATCCAATCTCACTTCTAGCTCTGGTTCCACCATAAAGAGGAAAATTGTAACTGTTTATTTTATTTTTTATTTCAAACACCTTTATTAACACAAGCATTAATTTCCTTTAATAAGGTAAATTTGTTATCATATACATTTACAGTCGACTCTTTCTTAATGGACACCACTATGAGATGGACATCTTGCTAGCATGGACACCTTGAGTTGGTCCCTTCCTTTCTTTACTCCTCTCTCTAAAAGACGGACATCTTTCTAAGATGGACACTTAATGCAGGTCCCAAAGGTGACCATCTTAGAGAGAGTTGACAGTATACACAAAGAAAACGAAAAAATTGAACCAAAGAAAAATAAGTTGGTTTACCTGGTGGTTTTTCTTGAAAGGTGAAATTGAGAGTGGATGTACCCCGCCCTCCAGACTTGGTCTCCAGTACAACAGGACCAGAACCAGCCCAAGGCTTTGTAGTAACCACAAGTTTTGCTGGACTGTGGTATTCAAGAGTAGAGTACAAGTCACACCCACAGATACTAATTGAAACTATGTCCTCTTTTGATTTACCAAGATTACATCCTCGCACCGTGATCTTGGTTCCCCCAGAAGCAGGTCCAGATTTGGGCGACAGTCCAGTCATCTCTGGGGTGTTACTTGATGAGAGAACCTGGCCAAGTGTTGGAGCAAGACGTGGCTTAAAAAGAGGGAAGGGTTGAAGTGTATTGGAACTAGTAGAAGGAGAAGTAACAGGCGACTGCAACTCCACAGCTGAATACAAATTCTCTATAGATCTTGAGCCTTTTTTAGAAATAGAAGCAGCCTCAATTGAGGACCTTCTTTTTGAACGTTCTTTTGAATTATTTCCACTTTTGAGGCGTAAAGGTAATAAATTATTCCACTTGCCACTTTCACCACCAGATGAGGAAGGTTTTTTAAAGGAGAGCACCCAACAGTCAATACACAGGTCACCCATTGCCTGTGAGTTTTTTGTCGTTAATGGCAACCACCGGCGACGATGGGCTACAGAAGGTATCTGTGCTAGTGGCAAGCTCGCTGTGCCCAGTGTTTCATCCCTGTCTGTTACCGTGAAAATCAGAGGAGCTGGTTTTGCTACAGTGCTGGAAAGAAATAACAAGAAGAGGACTCCATTTGGTGGCTTTTCAGCTTTTTGGAAATCTTACGCTTGGCTTGTACATGTTAATGTAGGTGTGCTAGAGGGTAACAAGAGAGCACTGGGAATGATAAAACATTTTTTGCATATAATCATTTGTTGTTGTTGTTTTTACACTCACGACCTTAATTAGATAATTTAGTTGTTCTTTTGTGACTAATCAAGGACCAAAAACCAATTTCAAGAACTTAAAAGGCTTTGAAATGGACCTCCTGAAATTCAAGGGTCTTCAAAAAAAGGCAGTGTTTTACTGACCCTTCAGCTCAAAACAAACAGTGAAAGGTTCCAGAAAATATCCATACCCACCCTCTGGAGTGTCATAGGAAATTCATCAAGGGAGGTCTGAGTTAAACTGAAATTTCTACAGGGGCTCTAGCAGCCTGTGCAAGGTGGGACTGGGTGCACATAATCAATGACATTATAACATGACCAATACCAGTAAGTAAAAAATACATTTTTCGTATGCAACTTGCTCAATTTGCTGTTTTCAGTTTTGACCGTTTAATAGCCATTGCCGTTTTTCGTATTTTTTACTCTGCTTGTTTTTCACGAGTAAACTAAAGTTATCCTAAATGTAATCGCCTCACACGAATACAAGTTTTTTTTAGCTAAGAGAAAACTAGCTCAGTTATAGAAAACAAACCTTACAATCACGCATCCTTTCAATGCGTAAAGGAAATAAAATACAGTATAAACCAAACAAAATTTAATTGGAAAGCCAGATCACTCAATAAATCATGACAAGCAATCAACTCGCTTCAAACAGGGGATTGATAAATACAAGTACTGTATTATGATAACTAGAATTTCTATGATATTTAATTCTACCTAAGCGGAAAGCGGAAAGCGGAAACTGAAGTTTTATAATATATAAATAACGCGTGTAAAAATGCGAAGTTGTAGCTACATATATTTAACCGAGAAAGCAGGACGCGTAAGCTTTGAGCCAGCTTTAAACAAAGCTTCCTCTTGATTACATTGACGCGTGAGGGTGTGAAGACAGATGTTTATAAGCGTAACTTGACATTATTGCAATAATAAAGCTTAGCGACTTTCGCAAATTAATGTTCTTTCCGCGGATATTTGACGCCTCTTCTGCTCCTTTATAAGTAAACAAAATCTTCCGTTTTTAGTTTCAAAGGAATAAAATTCCCACGCCCAAAGATCTCCTTCAAATTACTACAGAGTAAAATAGATCGCCGCACACTACCCCCTCCTCTTATCGACAATTAATTTTGCAATAAAAGGAAAAACGCGATTATTTACAGCGTAGCGGATTACGGCTTTTCAATAAGCTACAACAATTTTACGACGTGCAATTATGGGATTTAAAATTAAAGGTCAAAAATGAAATTGATCTTACATTATAGTTTCTTCATTCCAAGTCGGGTCGTTGTCTCGGACAAATTCCGTTCGGTATTTATGCTTACCAATTCCAAAAATGACAGACGCATTACATACACCTGGAAAGAGAAAATACATTTTCAAATGCTTTAAAAAAAGGGAAGCACTTTAAAAACGACGATGCTAAATTTAAATGGCATACGTATGCGACCTACCATCTCCCTTTTTTGGCTGCAAATTTCTTGCCGAATAAACTGAAAAGTAAAAGAACATTGATTTCATAAACATCTTGATGATCAAAATTCTAGTGTTTTAGAGTTTGGAATTCGTTCTTACCGACAACTTTGACTTCGTCTGGGTCCATAATAGCCGCTATGTAAACGCAATTCACATTCAGTTTCTGACTTAGTCTTTGTCTTCTCCGGTCTTCTCCAATTTCGCGGGACATTTGTTACGTCACAAACGTCTTTTAGGTCACGCGTATGTCCTTTTCTAAACAAGCGGGGGACCTAAATCGACAATTGAATTGAGAGATTAAGCTCGTCACTGGAAAGTTAATCAGACAATTTTGTATTGACAATAAAATCGGAGTGTTTTTAGCAATAGTACACTTATATCTAGGGACACGTATCCTTACAATTCAAACAAACGGGTAAGCTAGCCTGCACAGAAGGCGGCTTTTTGGTGTGTTTTTCGTTTGTGTTATGTAAATTATGAGGTCAAACCAGAAAACGATGGAGGAGGGGACATGAGAGAAAGAAAGCAGAGAGAACTCTTTCTCTTGCTCCATCCCCAATTGTTTTCTCATTTGACGTACCTTGGCTTATTTTTCTCACGGCTATATCTCTTACTATGAAACACAAACAAAAAACACACTGAAAAAGGCCAGCTATGCAGGCTAATACTGAACCCTCTTGATTAAGCCATTTTTCAATTAGCCTGCAAGCAAGAATAAATTAGGCTTGGATGCTCTTCATGCATTAGGTATGTATGGTTCACTTTCCAACCCAATCAAATCAAATCCTTCACTTTAGAAAGTGGCTAATTCAGGCATTTACAAAATTATGACAATAAAAGTCAGATAACTGATTGCTTTTTGATGAACTCATAGCTTTCTTTTGGCTGATTGCTCTGTTTGCTTTTTGTGTTACAAAAGGTAAAGACCTAAACCTGAAAATTAATTAAAAGGAATACTGATGCGTTACTTTCCATCTGCAATGATTTGAAAAGTATAAGATTTAGGAAAATGAAGAATATTGTTGATTGTTAAATATTTAAAACCAATCCGTCAATTTCTCTTATGAGCTTCAAAAGCTGCAAGTCAAACTTAACAGTTGCATACAACATTATGTTGTGGTTCAATTTTATCCTTGGTTTCAACTTTATTTTCCTTTGTTTCAAACTCATTACCATACATTACCATACACAAAAACAAAGGAAAATAAAGTTAAAACCAAGGATAAAATTGAACCACAAGAAATGTGTTAACTCTCCCAGATTATCCAGAAGTCCCCTGGATATGGCATCAATTATCTTGCTGTTCTCCTATATGGTCACCAAATCTCCTGGATATGATTCACTTTTTATCTTTTCTTCGCTTTAGTTTGGAAATTATTAAGCTTATTTTTTTCCAAAATTTGAAACATTCTCTGATTCAGGGTGCAGCTACCGAAACATTTTTGCACGTATTTTGCCACTGATAAGGGTGATATTTATTTTGTAAAAGTGAATTTTGATGGTCTGTACATCATGTAGTACATAATGTCATAAGCCACACCCATTGATAGTTTGTAGGGCGGTTAAGGCAAAAGAGAGCGTCTCTTGAATTTAAATCGCCAGAGGTTGGCACCCTGGTTGGCATCTCTGCAACCAAACAATAATATTATTTTATTACCAAGTACCACCCTAAAATGATAAGTCCAAATTTGAAAAATTTTTCGTGATTAGCTTAGCAGGGTTTATATGCTTGTTCCAGACAGAGTTTTTCACAAAATTAAGAGGATTAAGATCTTGATGAGATGTCTGTGGCTGGATGATATTGGTTTAATATAATCATAAATTGACTTTGAAAAAATCGTCAAATATATACCTTAACTGATGTACCAGATTCTGAAATTTCCTCAATTTGTTTTCTCAGAACATAGCACCTTTTTCTTCCTCCATCAGAAAATATATTTTCACGTCTCCAAAGCGCGTTTGGACCATTTCTTCGTGCTTGATAAGAAAACAAGCTGCAAGGCCATACGCCAGGGTTGGGATTCCAAAATTCATCATTTTCAGCACGTTGAAAACTGTATTCTCTATTCTCAGATCTTGCCAAGGTCTTTTGGAGCAGTGGTATTTAATAAAGGGAAAGCATCCTGTTCTTAGAATGTGGTAGTTCTCGCCATCGACATTCCAGTTGAAATGCGACATAGCAAAGTTATCATTTACAACTGCCTTGTAGCGGACGAAGTAAGAGGTCCATTCCGGAAGGCCACGCCGTCTTAAATGCTGTGTCAATACCTCTGATGCATGGGGCTTCAGCTTAGTCTTCGAGAATAATCTAAGAATTTTTCTGTTCATAGCAATGGAAATTAAAAGACACATTGTAAGAAGTCCACTTTCAACATCCAGTAGCCATTTTTTAACCTTGAGACACTAGGCTCCAGGCTACGCGCAAAATTAATTTGTCTTGTTACCAAGCCCACTCAACGATCGATCAGCCGCGAAAAAACATCCATGAAGATGGGCACGTCGAGAAGTTATGATTTTATTTCGTTCCTTGAGGAAGCAAAATATTTATGCGTTATATACGTGCTTCGTTTGTTCACCTTGTAAGGCGGCTAGCTATGAATCAGGCTGGCAATACAGCCCGTAGGCTCGTCTTTGTCGGCAGCCATTTGGAGCCTTGTCTGATTCAGGGGGAGTTTCCTATTCCTAAGTTGAAATCTGGAGAAATCCTTGGGAAGTTTCGAATGGCAACGATATGTGGGTCAGATTTGCACACAATCAGTGGCAGAAGAAAAGAAGTAGTTCCTAGGTCTGTTTACTTATTTTGGCCCCTTATTTTCATTGATTTTTAATGTTCAAATTTCTCTTTAATGACGGAGGCCTACTTAGAGATTGGGGGAGGGATAGGTATGTCCATACTATATTCCTACCACGTATTCCATGAGAATCTGTTTACCGTGAGATTTTTGTACGTCATCGTGAGACCGCGAGATTGCCCTCAAAATCGTGAGTCTCACAGCAAAATTGTGAGACTTGAAAGGTCTGTAACAGGGCCTCACCCTGTAGGGTGCTTTCCATGATACCAACATTTTAAATTTTGGTCAAAACGCAAGTGCAGGAATACATGGATGTTTGTCTCAATGGATAAAACAATGCTGTTCCATTTTCAGTGGTCCCTGACTGATTGCTTGATATAATAGATTGCATCCCTTTGAGTTGGTCTCTATTAAATCAGTTTGCCAGTCAGGCACTGCCCCAAGACAGCAACAGGCTTAGTGCCAAACCCTGAATTATGTACATTTATGCAAAGTTGACAAGAGTTGACAGTTCAGTGATTTTGGTGGGTGTTAAGAATGGGGTCAATGATTAGTACAGTAGTGCAAAATCAATCTTGTGATGATAGATTTAAAGGATTATTGGAGCTGGTTGGTGGAATCTTTCTAAATTAAAATGAAGAAAAAAATCAGTTTCAGGGAAGTTTAGCTGATGCTTGGACTCCTGATGACTTCAAAAGATGTTTTTAAGTGGCTGATGAACGGAAACTCTTGCTACACATGCTAGCCTTCCCCCACCAATCGCTCCCCCAATCAAACTCCTTGATCTACTCTAACCTTAACCTTTCTCTCCCCTCCCCCTCCCCCTCCATTCCCCTTTTTTGCTCTCGTCCCAATTTTCTCAACAAACTCGTGTGGAAATGCTTGCTACGCAGGCTAGGGGATAGCAAGTCGTACCTCAAAGGAAAGGGAATCTGAGGTATGAGGAAGGAAGGTTATCCTGGGATAACAATGGGAGTGGGAGTGCATGGTACTTGCAGATCCTCCTTCGATCATATTCACTGCAACTGATAAGCAAAACATCTGGTTTGGAAAGAAGAGGATGGTTTCACATAAAAATTGATCTAAGACACTTGTGAACATTGTTTTATTTTAGCTAGAGCATGAAACTTGCAATTCAACTATTTTTTAATTATTTTATAAGAATATTTTGCTGATAATTTCTTGTAGCATTCTTGGACATGAGGGTATCATAGAGGTCATCGACCACATGCGTCCCTCAAGTGCCAAGCTGAAGAAGGGTGACAGACTGACATTTCATGTTGTTAACTGTTGTGGTGAGTGTGAACGCTGTAAAGATGGTCTACAACAAAAATGTCTCTCCTTGTTCAAGGTGAGATCCTTTAGTAATATAATGCTCAATGTCAGATCCTGAGTTAGTTTTTTTTTTCCTGAGAGTGTTCTGAGGAAAAAAAATTACATTATCAATTAACTGGTTTCCCAAGGGACTTGGCGTTAAGTGTTTTGTTATTTCCCTGACTTTGTTTTCAATGGCAATAAAGGATAAAAAGTTAACGAAAACAATGTTGGTACATAGTAGCACAAATGTAAAGGGACAGGTTCACCATTCAGCACATGCTCATTTATCACAATGCTGTTTTTCTGCCAGGACATGTCACTTGTACTTGATCAACTTAAATATTTGCAAATAGCTGTAAATTAATCAACCATGGAATAAAACCTTCGGGTCAACAATAAATTAAAAGTTCATAGTGTTGGCATAATCCACTGATGTTTTTGGCGATTTTAGTACTCCTCCATCCTACTTCAGGTTACCCTGAAATACACTTCTACTTTGATATGCACTCTGAGATCACTGAAATACATGTGTGTGGGATTATTAACCAATTCGAAGTTAGAAATAAAAAATTGGAAAAACATAATTTAATTAATGAGCATGTGCTGAACTGTGAACCTGACCCTTTAACTATCAAAACCACTAGATGAATGATTTGCAAGTAGAATGAAAGAGTAGTCTCAATACTGAGAAACATTAAAAGCTAAAACGCTACGGAGAAGAGAAGGTTGGAGGCAGAAGATCAGAGATGAGGTGTACAGAGAGGTAGGAAGTGGGAGAGAAGGCTTTGGGAAGCAGCAGGAGAGCCATGGATAGGAACCAAGAGAGAAGGATAAAAGGGAAGGAGGGATATAAACCAGGTGATGAGCAGGTGGGAAGTAATTGAGAGAAGAGTTAATGTAAGTTGTGAAAATGGAACGTGGTCAAAAGTAGAGTGTAGGAAACAGGAAAGAATAGTAATGGAACCACTTTGTAGTATGCAGTGCTGTAGTGATGAGAACGAGGAGATGAAGGGGTTGAAGCATGGGAGAAAGGGAACCAAGAGAGAAGGGATTGCTGGAACCAGCAGAGGAGTGTGTGTCAGGACTAAAGAAGACAATGGTCTTTCATTGGCATCACTTTTTTTTAGTATGGTCATGCTCCCATGACAAGTGATTCCCAACTGAATGGATGTTATGCATCACATATCATCCTCCACAGTGGAACACATGTTTCAAAAATCCCTGACCATGTTCAAGACAGAATAGCTTCTCCTGTCAACTGTGCACTGGCAACCATGGTTAATGCAGTGTCTGGACTTGATGGCAGAAACCCTCATCGTGAAACAAGTGCTGTCATTCAGGTATGAGAATGGTATATAAACTGCCTGGTAGACTGATATCATTTGTACATACTGGTACCAAGAATGTGCTTTTGAATTATTAGCAATCCATTTTTTAAAGAGAAGTAGAGGACTGAAACATTTAGCAAACCATTTTTTTTACATACTTTGCAAACCTGTTGGTTCAAACATATTAAAAAGATACTTCCAAATTATGAAACCAGTAGCTTTTTATGTGTGCAAATCTTTGTCTACCTTATTTCTCTTGCAGGGCTGTGGCCTTCTAGGCATTTATGGCTGTGCACTTCTTCATGAAGCTGGATTTAACAAAGTATTCTGCTCTGACATCAACCCTGAGAGACTGGCAATGGTGAGCAAGTTTGGAGGTATTCCCCTTGTTGCAGGTAATTAACCAGGAAGTTGAGCACTTTTTGTACAATCCTTATTAGGAGCCTTAATGTTCTACTGATATTGACAAAATTTACCTGGATTTCATCAAGCACCCCTGTGACCATCCATCCCTAACCAATGGTCATTTCAGTGACTCTCGGGGCTTGATCCATTCCAAGTTTTGTTGTTACAAATTTTTTCTTACACATTCTGGTCACTCATCCAAAGCTTGTTACAAAATAAGCTGCTTGCAGGGTCTTAAGAGTTTCTAAATTTCCACACCAGATTTTCATGCACAGCACTGGTTTAAGCAAATACAACAATAAGGCTTAAGACAGTCTTGGATTCAGACTGGATTCCAGTCTTTGTTAGTGGAACTTGAATTCTGGACTCCAATCGTTAGTTGGATTCCGGATTCCTTGAGCTGTATTCCGGATTCCAAAGCCCAGGATTCCATATTCCACCAGCACAATTTTCCAGAATTTGGGATTTTAGAAGCAAACATTGCACGGATTCTGGAATCCAGATTCCCTTATGTGGGGTGAATTGTAACATCAGATAATTTGTATTACTGAACAATATTCTGGACCCAACCTTGTTCTCCCACCCCCCACCCCCATTTTCTAAGGGAAAGCCCGGGAACTGAGGTTACTCTAAACCCTTATAATTATATGTTTTAGGCCAGCAGGATCCCAGCAGTCCAAAGGACAATTCTGTTGATGCAGTAATAGAGGTAAATGGGGATTTTAATATTATTCAGCTATGAGAAGCTGTGTATTACTTGACTAATAACGTCTTTTGTCAGGGAACCTTGAGTTTAGCCCTTCAGAACCTAAGACCCCTCAACAAACAGTCTATATATTTTATTGACAAGAGATACATATTGCAACGGAGAAAGCTGAAAATCAAATACTTACCCTGTAAGAAATTGCTTGTCTCATTCTTTGAAAATGTTGGAGTGGTAAACAAGAAGTCATGTTTGAGCGATTCTAGTTAGTGTATCAGCCTTCTTCAAAGTAATCAATATTATTTTGCTTGGACATTAATTAAAAACAGCTACTACACTTTGTTTCAATTTTTTGCTCATTATGTCAGACACAAGTCAGACAGTAAGCAGTATTCATTTTATATACCACATGCTGCCAGTATCATTCTCCACTAACATAACCATAAATGATGTGAAAGACGCATGCTCTCAAATAAACGCGTCTTGTTTAATAAACGCCCCCACTATAATGTTAACATTGTTTAGGTGCCCCTCTCTAATAAACACCCCCTGTCTAATAGACGCCCTCATGACAATTACTCCAAAATACTAGGAATTAGCAAAAAGGAACAAAATCATTGTATCTTGTTTAATGTCAACTGAGTTCAAAGTAATGATAGACTAACGATGACAACATAGTGATCCTGAGTGAGGATTCTGACATCGATGTTGAGATTTGAAAGAGCGATGGATCTCTAGACGGCCAACCTCGTCGTCCCCAGGGCGCTTTTGGAGGTGGGGCGCCCCACCTCCAAAGCCAGGGAAAAGGGCCGTGGGGACGAGGTTGCTAGACGGCCTAGATGTATCAACTATGATGGACTGGATATTCTGCTACTCCGAAAGCATATTAGTTTTTTTGAGCTTGAGCTACTTTATTTATTTAAAAATAAATATGCAATAAGCGCCCCGGGCGTCTATTAGATCATTTACGGTATTCATCTATTTTCTGGTCTGTACTGTACAGGTTTGTGGTATCCGTAGTGTGATACCGGAAGGAATAAAACTTCTTAGGCCAGGCGGGGTTTATGTGTTAGTTGGAATGGTTCATCCAGATTCCAAGATGGATGTCACTGCCGAGCAAATAATAAGAAAGTGCATCACCATCAAAGGTTTACCACGCTTTTTTTTTCTTTGTTTGTCTTTGAGTTTTTCTATTTTATAAATACAGTCAAACTCCGTTAATACAGACACTGAGGGGGGCATAGAAACGGGGTGTCCGTATTAAGCGGGTTGAATTTAGAGAAAATGTAATGGCTTTCTTTCGCCAGCGACAAATCAAAGTGTCCGTGATAATGAAGTGTCCTTACTAAGCGGGTGTCTGTAAAGCGGGTTTGGCTGCACAGCTGGACCTCCCGTAAGCACCTCCCGAAATACCAAGATTTAGCTTGGGAAAACAGCCCACATTTTGCGACACAGTCATCGGCTTCCCCGCGGCGAAACTATTGGTGGCGTTCCAAAATGTCGGCTGTTTCCTCAAGCTTGATGACCTTGATGGTCCCTTATGGGAGGTGATCGCTTGTCAGGACTTATCCTGTGAGCAAGCTCCCCGGGGCGGTCTGACGGTGGGGCGAAGAAGGAGGGGCCCGGAGAGCTTACTCGTAGGTAGACCTCTCATAAGTTATTAAAAGTGTGCGAAACGAGCTTTAATGCATGAGGTCGCTGCTCGACCGAGCGAGCGACGAACTCTCGAGGTCATAACTAACCAGGAAAAAAGAATAAAGGACTTTTAGAAAGTCGAATTCGTCGGCTGTTCAGTAGACTTCGAGTAGTTCCCCATTTTTCCTCAGGGATAGTAGATTTCTCTCTCTCCCCGCCGCGCGTCGCCTTTTCTTGCGTGGGGTGATTTTCACGCGCGCTCGCCTTTCGCTCGCTCTACTATCCCTGAGGGAAAATGGGGGACTACACGTGGTCTAGCTGATCAGAACTGAATGATCAGTGGGACTGATAGCTGGGAATTGTTGCTATGTGCATACTAGCTTGTGAGAGGTGATCGCACTTGAAGGTTCGCGTTTTAAACCTTTTTCAATCGTTTTGTTTTTAGGAATTCATAACTATGGACCTCAGCATCTGGACGACGCCGTCGCCTTTTTGTCCAGAACGTGCAGCAAATATCCTTATAAAGAACTTATCAGTCCTCCCTATAAACTGGCCGATTTTTTTACAGCCTTACAAGTATCTCAGAAACAAACATATTACAGAGTTTGTGTGGAGCCTTGAGGCTCAAAGAACTGGTGGATCGTTACGGAAACACTTCGCGTAACTGCGCGCGGAAAATTAATGAATTTGAATTGAAAGAAGTACTAGCTAGAGGCAGATAGGGAGACAATTTACGGATGTAGTCTGCAGAAGTTAGCCTGAATTTCAGACATATCTTCAACGGGAGTATGCGACTCGTAGGAATGTCTAAAATTCAGCCTAGAAGATAATTGGCTAAGAAAGCAGCGCGTGGTTTTATTTCAACCAATCACAAAGCCTGATCCAGACCCAAAGCAAACGCGAAGGTATTAACCCGGCAGACTTAGCGTTCTTTTGGTTTTGTCGGCGTTGCTGCGCGAGCGAATTTTTTCAAATTATTTATATGATCTCGCATTACGGCGAAGTAAGACTAGAGAATCACTCACTTTTTCATTTTGAATAGAAATGTACATGTACTTAATTTGCCATTGCGAATTGATAGTCAAAGTAATTTCAACAATCTTTCCTTTTTGAAACTATCAAAAGATGCTAGATACCATTAAAGAGGGAATACTTACAGCGTAATCAGTGATTGATCTTAATTAACACAAGTTTTATGAATAAAGGTGTTGTATGCGCAAGACAAAATGTCGTATGCTTTTAGAGTAATGAAATTATGACAGGATGTGATTACCTGTTGTTGTTAAAGTAGGTATGGAAAGATCGAGTAAAGTTGATATAAAGAAATGGTGGTTATATTATGTGGGGTTGTATGCTTCTGATGATATGTTTCTGTTCTGTAAGGGAGTTTCGTGCTGCAAGTATTGCGAGGTAGGGGTCACCTTTGCTTTTCTTTGCCTTCCTGAGGATGTTCTTGGCCGCCCTGACAGCAGATTCAGCTTGACCATTTGCCTGTCGATGACGAGGACTGCTTGTCCTGTGCTCAAAGCCCCTTTCTACCATCGTACACGGAAAACTCATCCCGGCAACTGTAGTAGGGGTTCAGCACAGCAGGAAGGCTTTTCTTGTCCGCTGGCCATCCAGTTATAATTACTTCGTTAAGCAGCTGCAGGACCTCATCTTTGCTGGTGTGCCCAGGATTTCGCATTGGTTCAGCACATTAACAATAAATCTCAAAGTCTCTCTGAGTGTTCTTACTTGAGGACAGGTACGCTCGGCTTAGTGTTTCAGCTACGTACGTTCGAGGTCCTGGATTGAAGACGATGTTGATGTCAAACTTATGAATCTTGAGAAACATCCCTTGTAGTCTCTTGGGTGCATATCTTAACGGCTTTTTGGCAATAGCCTCTAAGGGTTTGTGGTCGCTCTCGATTGTGACAGGTCTGCCATATGCACATTGCTCGAACTTGTTTAGTGCGAAGACCACAGCGAGAAGTTCCTTTTTAATCTGCGCATATCTGGATTTTGTGTCTGTGAGGGCAAGGCTTGCAAAAGCCACAGGCTGACCTTTCTGTAGTACTGCTGCTCCAAGCCTTTTCTCGCTGTCATCGCATTGGACTGTTAGTTCGTCTTCCGGGTTATAGTACTTGAGAAGTCGCGAAGTGGTGGCCATTTCTTTGATTGGTTTGAAAGTTGCATCATGTTCACGGGTCCATTTTCACTCATTCTCTTTGCAAGTGAGGTTTCTAATAGGTTCCATGACTTCACTTAGTTTCGGCTTAAACTTTGCTAAGTAATTGTCGAATCCACAGCATCGTCTGACTGCTTTGATGTTGTCCGGTCTCGGCGTTTCTTGCACAACCTTTATCTTGTCCGGGTCTGGTTTCAGGCCTTCGTTGGTGATAAGGTGTCCCAGGTAGGAGAATTCTGTGCACTTGAGTTTGAGCTTCAATTTGTTTAGCTTGATTCCTTTTTCTCTGCATCGTTGCAGAAACCTCTCTAAATTTCTGTCGTGATCTGCATCAGCCTGTTCATCAGTGCCACCAACCCCGTATATGACCATGTCATCACGTACATAACACGTACGTAAGCTTGGTGGATTCGCTTCTGGAAAATTTCAGAGGAGACACTGAGACCAAAAGGTAGTCTTCGCCAGTAGTAACGTCCAAAGGGGGTGTCGAACGTCGTCAGTGTGGCACTGGCCACGTGCCAGTATCAATTGCGAGCATCAACTTTTGTGAATATTCTAGCTTTTGAGGATTCTGGCAATACATCTTCTATCACTGGGATGGGACATCTTTCCCGCTAAAGGGCTTTATTGAGCTCTTTCGGGTCGATACAGATCCTCAGGTCTCCGGATCGGAAATGTTTTGAACGTATGTAACAAAAACAATTGTTGGCAAAGAACGGGTCATTTTCTCCCAAACGAGCGTTGTGACCTATCTGTTATTTTTTACACTTTATTTTATTCCTTTACATGATTAATCGTCTTTTTTTTGTAAAATTTTAAAACAAAAATTATGTCTGAAGAAAAAGTTTTAATAGTAAAGTATTCGCAGCCATCACTCGTGTACACAAATTGTGTCCTCGAGTTCACGCACCCGAGGAATAGTTGTAGTCAGTGTCTTTTGCTAATGAAAACCTTTAAGTCGCCACCGCTAGATTTGAACCTACTAAAAGCATACACTTTTCACTGCTTTGGTGAATGGTTATCTCGAAGATAGGAATTGTCAACTCTCGAGGGATCAAATTTTCCAGTCATTTTATAACTGTAACTCATTTGGGCAACGACTTCACCTCCTGAATTTTTTTGAGCTCCAGAGAACCACTGTTTCATGGCTTCTAATTGGGCTTTTTCGGAATCTTCAATGAAGGAGTCACTGTACGTAACTTGTATTCCCAAGTCGTCCTCGGGCGTTTTTACGTACTGCAGTGGCTTAGTGCGAATGAGGGACACCTTTCTCGTCAATGTCAACAGGAAAGCATTGTCGTGATGTGAGAGGAGGTTGACTGACGGCACGAAAAACTGTTCTAGCTACTGAGTAGCCAAGCCGTGAAGAAGGTCGTCAAGGAGACCCAGAAAACAGATAGCCGAGTAGGAACTTTCCCAGAAATCTTCAGGATGTTTTTCGCACGCCCAAAGCATGATGGTCTTGAGATGATAAGAATTGAGAATCTTGGGAGTCGACAGGTGTTCTTTGAATATCTCCTTCAGGATGCGATAGCATTCAATGCGGCAGCTGCCATCTGGAATCAGAAGATGATCGTAAGTGATTTTTCTTCCAGCAGGAAACGTGTATTCACCTCGTGGTTTCGGAAAACGGGAAAACAGAATTTTCTCAGCTTTCGAGAACGAGATTCTCCATTCTACTTCAGGATCGCCGTGCGTTGAGGCCTTTGGAACCAAGTATACGCCACCATTGGCTACTTCCGCTACGACCGTTTGATTTGGCCACTTGCGAGGTCGCGCGATCCACTCCTTGGCAGAGATTGGCCATTCATTCCAGTCCAACGCCAAAACAAAATCAAAACTGAAAGTAACTTGGGTGCCGCTGCTGTCTCTAAGATCCATGACGACGGTAACCGCTGGCCCGTTGACTTCAAATCTATAAACACATTTCTCTCCAAACGAGCTATTTTGAAAAACCTCTTCGATCTTTGCTTGCAGCACTTCGACTATTTTCGTCGAGGACAGAAAAACTTCATCTCGGCGTTCAATGACGCAATCTTGCCAAGTTGATTGAAGATTGATGTCGTTCAGACGAATCTACGAATGGCCCTGACTTACCTCCGCTCCATTCTTCTCTGAATTTCCCCCTTCCACGACGGAAATGCGTCTAACATTTTCGTTGCAGTCGACCGTCAGTGTTTTTATTAAGAACAGAAAATCGTATTCTTGTTCAACCGTCTCATCCTGAGAGTGTTTTCTATACAAAGAGACTCCTTCTGTGAAACTTCCAGACTGAATAACCTCCAAGTCGAAACGGGAATCCAGCTCTTTCACTTTAGCCGGAAGTTCATTCTGTAGGAAGTTGTCTATTTCATACCGAGCATTGATATCGCCAAAACCAAGAATTGATTGACCTCCAGGGACTTGGAAGGTTAAGTTGGATCGGTAACGCGACCAAAGCTTCCTCCTCAGATCACCCAGCTTCACACCGGATCGAAAATCGATGGACATATTAAAAATGGAACGGTTCTTGTAGCTTCTCGCACGTTGACAAATTCGTCACCAGGACCCTGTGGTATCAGGACTGGGCGCGCAATCATATATGGGCTTGTCTAAGTCAATAATTGTTGTGTTTACGTCACACTCGACCACTGGCAGACCAGATTCACAGTTGTCGTACTGAATTATAGGGTTTCAAGAGAGAATGAGCTTCATTCTCTCTTGAGGGTTTATATGGGAAAGATAAAATAACGAAAACAAAAAACAATCGTCTAATCTCGGCTCATAGCGGAGAAAATTAGTAAAATAACTTATTTTTTGCTGAATCTTGTGTCCCCATGTCTATTTGAGGTGTTCCGGGGACTGGTTTTGCGACAGGCCATTTCCGAGTTCGCGTCTGCCTCTTTTTTAATTTTTCAAAGCGAGTCTTAGTGCGAAAGTTTTGTGACTTGGGCTTCTTGGTACAGGAAAATCCAAGTCTAAAATTACCTTCCAGTCGTAGTTGTCGTCGTCGATCCATCAGAAAATCTCAGTCACGACCTTTCTGCGCGGGTGCTAACTATCAGGCCCAGACAATACATGAAACTGGAGTGCCTTTAGGGATGAGAGTAAGTATATGACCACGTGACCTGGCATCGTTTGGACCCGTGAAACGTTCCTCAAGTGAAATCTGTTCCGTGGGAGATTTAACGTTATGGGATTGTTTATAATATCAATTGCAACTCGTCCTCGAGTACAAATCGACGACGAAGTGCGGGTGAAATCGTATGTATTCGGCACTATGCGCCCCCCCCCCCAAAAAAAAGGTATATTACATTCATTTTTAGTGCAATCTCCCGCCAATGAGTACGAAAAGATAGGGGGACCCAGGGGAATTTGACATTTTCATGGAAGCTACAATCATGGACAAAAGTCTTGGACACTTCTGCACTTCTGGGGCGTTTTCCAATTCACACAGGTCCAACCCATCACCACACAAAAAATGTTGAACGCTTGTATCCGGAATGTTTTTAGTTTCAGCTTTGTATAGGGTAAGGGGGGAGAACTGCAACAAATTTTTGAAACGGATGCACCGTTTTAAGAGGGAACCGAGAAATGACAGAAAAATATGAATTTTGTCGTACTCTAGTAAAAATAAGGAATAAGGTTAAACTTACTGTATGTAAGTAGGTTTAGAAACAGGTAGCTCAAGCCTATGACTAGAGTGGTTATAATTAGTTTCAGTTGGTATTGTGAATTGAGATGCATATGGTTAAATCCGTACATTTGTTTTGATAGCTGCGCTTAAATATTTAACATTAATCAGGGGCACCCAACGGCAATTTTCGGAAAATATCTGTTCGGAATACGATTTGAGATCTAGAATTTTCGGAACATTTGTTGTAAAATTTCTTGCTTGCTTGCCTCTCCTAGGATTTTCGAACATCTACAAAATGGTATAATTGCCCATTTTTAACGGAGTTTGACCCTAAAAAAGGCCACCTAGAATTTTCGGGAGCCTTTTCCTGGCTGAAATTTTCGAGAAGGTAATTTTCTGAAAGAAGTGATGGTCCATATTAACGAAAATATAAGACAGATTCGTTTACTCCTCTTTCACTAGTGGTGTCCAGAAAAATCTCGGGGTGGTACTCCCTTATGTAAGCTATACAGCTATGTGCTGCCCCATCGCGATCGGGTGGGGTTTTGGTCTAAAAACGGGTATACACTTTGCCCATTTTAGTCTGGAATCGAGTATGGTTTTCGAGGGAACTACAGGAGTGTATGAACGTATTTATCGTTTCAATTCCAAATGAGTAAGAAAGAAAGAGAAATATGCGAATTCGAAACGAATTTGAGGAACTTTTTTTGTTTGCGCTCTAATCTAAATAATATTAACATAATTTCTGCCTAAAGGCCAGGTCTGAAAACGGGTCTGGAAAATGGCACTTTTTGGTCTGAAATAGGGTACCAAGAATTCCCAGGAGTACCACCCCCAGGGAGAAAGAGAAGTCTTTTCAATACCAAGATGGCGAATACAATGTAAGTCATCTCCAGGTTCTCTAGGTCTTCCAAGATGGCGGGCATGTCAAATTCCCAACTTTGGGTCAAAATTCCTGCTCAGGGGAAGGCTCTCTGAGTCAATTTCCCGTAGGTAGCTCCCCCCCCCCCCACCCTGGGGCTTACCATTGATAGGTGCATAAGATAGTTCTTTTTCTTAATTTAAAAAATGCTGGTAAGGAGGAATAAAAGAATGATGGCTGAGAGATCGTTTGGAGACCATGTAATTTTATTGCTTTCAATTTTTCTAGTCTTTTTATTTTCACCTATTTTTAGGATGTCTTTTATTTTTGGTAGGAATTTCAATATATCATCTAGTTTTTTAATGTATTCCCTATCAGACATTTTCATTCCATATTGAATTTGATGCTCCCACTATAGGTTTAAATACCAAACATGGCACCATCTAAAACATTACCCGAAAACAGCCAATTTCACTGCCATTGCGTTTATGGCCAAAACTCTGCCTCTAGAGCTCCCAGAGCGGATTATTTTCTTGGATTTAATTAAACTAGATGCCTGAAACGTTTGTGAAAAGTCCATTATAAGCCTATTAGACCCCGTTTTCATGGAATTTTACACTCTTTAACACTCTTACACTCTTGGGTGAAAATAGCCAATTCCACCACCTTTGCGTTTATGGCGAAAACTTTGCCCCCAGCGCTCCCAGAGATTATTTTCTTTGTGTAAATTAAAGTAGAGGCCCTAAACATTTGAGAAAAGTCCATTATAAGCTAGTGTGCAACACAGCCGTTTTTTGTGTCGTCACGCAACGCTCTAAAAATGGCTGTGTAGTAGGCTCGATTTCCGCCGTCTCCCGGGGGGATGAGTGCGGGCTCATTTTCCCGAACAGCGGCTGGTAATCGAGCCTACCAGTGTAGCAGACTAATTATAATTATGAGGTTGATATTCAGATATGGGACTGTAGGCCCTAGAGGCCTTAACTCCCTAAGACTTTAGTTTCACGCGAATAACCCCCTCTCCTCCTCCCCGTTTTTTGTTTCTTTTTTTTTTTTTTTCTCACTCGCGTGTCTTAGCGCCCTATTTTATGTGGCACGAGCGCGAGTATGCCATCAATCACATAAACTAAATTTAACGAACTTCTAACGGTTTTTAGTCTCGTATTCCTTAACGAAGGGAGCTTTGCCGAAAGGCCGGTTAAGATTCTTTTAATAACAGCATCTGTTTTACAATTTTTAAATTAAGAATATTTATAAACCGATTTAAACTCGATTTATCCTAGAGGCCTTAACTCCCTAAGACTTTAGTTTCACGCGAATAACCCCCTCTCCTCCTCCCCGTTTTTTGTTTCTTTTTTTTTTTTTTGCTCACTCGCGCGTCGTAGCGCGCTATTTCATGTGGCACGCGCGCGAGTATGCCATCAATCACATAAGCTAAATCTAACGAACTTCTAACGGTATTTAGTCTCGTATACCCTGAAGAAGGCAGCATTGCCGAAACGTCGGTTAAGATTCTTATAATAACAGCATCAGTTTTACAATTTTTAAATTGAGACTAATTATAAGCCTATTAGACCTCGTTTTCACGGAATTTTACACTCTTTAAATTTGGTCATGTTACGCTTGCTATTTTCTTGGACCCCCGGCCTGGACCCTTCGTACTTCTTCTTTTACGGACTGACCAAGCGGCTTGATCTGTTTGTTTGAGGCTAGGCTCTGCTAGCCTTGCAAATGTCGATGCAACGTTGGAGTGTCAATTGCTGTTGATGTGATAATCGCTTACGTGCTTCTGACATAATATAATCACCATTTCTTTACATCAACGTGACTTGATCTCCCCATACCTGCTTTAACAACAACAGGTAATCATATCATGTAATAATCCAAAAGCATTTGCGCATACAACACCTTTAATTATTCATAAGACTTGCGTTAATTAAGATCAATCACTGATTACGCCGTACGTATTACCCCTTTAAAGGTATCTGACGTCTTTTGATGGTTTCGAAAGAGAAAAATTTATTGTTGAAATTACTTTGACCATATGCTTCTGATTATGTGTAATAATTGCGCAACAAACGGTGAGCGATTTTCCTGACATTTGTAAAGGACTAACTGTACAAGTTGCAAATTGTTGCACGAAATAGAGCCTGTCTTTATTCTCGTTCAATAACTTTCAAGATGTTGAATAGTCTGCTAAACAGCAATTTTTAGTGTCGTCACGCAACGCTTCTCCTACCTACATGTTGAAGTTATTGACGGGGCACACAACGTCTCATACGGAGGAAGTAATGATTTCATGCTTGGCCTACTGGACCGTGAAGCGAAATTATGACGCTAACATGCAAAAATGTCAGGCCTTTTACAGCATCTCTAAAGAATGAAGCAACATACATAATAGGGCTATTTATACGAGGAAAAATAAGACGCAAACTATTTTGTATAAACGGCTCATTAGACGGAACTTAGCTAAGACTCGTCTTATCGAAGAACAGCTGTTAGGGGTTGTTAAGACACGTCTTAGCTAGCCTCCACGCAGACGTCCTTTGGGGTTCGAACCCCAAAGGACGTCTTAGCTAAATTTTAAACGACTCGTGCCGCTTCGGAACGGGATAGTTTGGCTCTTATTTTAGACTACGAGTAGTCCCCCATTTTTCCTCAGGGACAGTAGAGCGAGCGAAACGCGAGCGCGCGTGAAAATCACCCAACGCGAGAAAAGGCGACACGCGGCGGGGAGAGAATAAAAGGACACCTCTTGTATAAGACGGGTGTTATTACGGCCCTAATGACTTAATTTTATCCTTAGAGCAGTATGTAGTTCTTCCAAAGGATAGGCTGCTGATTCGCCCAATTCTAATCAATTCACAAGAGTGACCAATATCAATTTTCTCCTTACAATATTCATACTCCATATGAAAGAAAAGCTTATGATGATTAATCAGATTGACGAAATATTAGTGAGTTTATGCAACAGGACGGCAGGACGGCTATCGGGGAAGTGGCCGTTTTCGCTAATGGTGGTATCACAGTTGATTTTCAAATGTACCAAGGAGGCGGGCGTCGGGGATTATAGCTCCCAAACCCCCCCCCGCCCCCTAAGTAGTTTTGACACTCATCAGGAGCCGATTGCACTCATGCAAGATGGCAGTAAGTAACGCAAAACGCTCGATCTCGACGATCTTACGGAAAAATAGAGGAATGTGAACAGTCTAGTTATTTTTCTTTTTTCTAAATGCCTATTATGGAATATTAATTCTTAAAACGGCCAAACTTTGTCGAGAGAGAAGAGAAATTATACATTTAGAACAGAAAGGTCGACAAAGTTTATATCTTCCGGAGGAGAGCTTTTGCTGCCAGTTGGAACGTAACTTGGTGGACGTTGTTATGTTTTATAGAGGTTTTAAAAGCAAGAGTCAAGTCAGTAAAGCTTTGGAATGTACTGTCCCGGCAGGATTTCTTTCCATAAGTGCCCGGGGTCCATTTAAGTTTACGCGATACTTTGTTGAGAGACATCCGACCGTAGTTCTAGGGCCTAATATTTAAAGTTTTGGATGAAAAGATATGACCTTTGAAGGAGCTGTGTCATGAAATTATATTAATCAAAATCGAAACAGTGGAAACTGCTACCAAACTGGGTGAAACATAAGGATAACTTAACGCTCAAAACATGGTATAAAACATGGTAAATAACGCAGCAAATACAAAAACATGAAGAAATTAAGACTGAAACGGATCATTACAATTGTAGTTTTTGGAAACTTGTTAGCCAAACAGTTTTTCAAAGTTCTGTAACGTTTGATATAATGCTTGAGAGACCGATAGGGTCCTACGGACACAAAGCTGTGATTATGCCATTCGCAGAATTTCTCAAAACTGAACTAGACACGACCTCGACACACGCCCTTTTCAAATGAAACTCTCATGGTCAGTTCCACGAATCATCATGGGGTGATTCGCCGGTTACGGCGCTTCTGATAAAGCTCAACTCTCGACCAGTTTGCGACTGTATTGTTTGATCTTGAGATTGACGTTTTCAGTTTTGAAATCTTTAGACTTGACGCCCGAGTCCTCATACTACTGACCGTTTCCTTCTTACGATGAAAACAGATACTTTCCCGTAATATTAGTAGCAGTCACCTATAAGCACTTATACCTTCCTTGATACGGCTTCTCTGAAGCATTTTTGAGTAATATAATCACTTTGTTTACGATCAGAGAAATTTTATGTCTACAGAGCTTAAAAGGAAATGGAAGTCTACTCTTATTAAACTTCCTTTTCTACTGAAGGAAATAACAAGCGATATCTAGCTCAACTCCCCCACTCCACCTCCCTATTCCCATACTCTACTACTTCCCTAGTATTATTTACCTCAGTCTGCTACTTCTTCTTACAATTATTCCAGCCATTTTAATATGGTAATCATTTTCATTTTGGTAGAAAATAAACCTCATGGTGACTTTTCCCTTAAAAAAGAAGCACGGATAACTAAAATAGCCATTGATGCTATGGGTATTTTTGTATAATTTTCATATCCTACTGAAAGAAGGAGGGTCTGTGTGTCGTAAAGGCCTAAGATTTTTTTCCATAAATAATTGATAAAAAAAAAAGTTGAGTTTTTTTCTAATCGGTTCGATGTCTCAGTGAAGGTTGTGTTACTCGGCACATAAAAAAATCACATAAGAACGTCACCTAACCAGTATTAGAATAACAATATTGCACATGCATATCTCGTGACTTTACAGACCAGTGCCGTTTGAAATGAGTTATAAACCGAATTCTGTTGTAAACGTGCGGAGACTCCACCAAACCCCCAATACCAAATATTTTTTGTTTTTGTGGGATACCACTCTGTGGGCGTCATAATACGGAACTGCGCTCAGTAAAAATTGATGTAGGATTTCCGATTCAATTTATTTCCTGACCTTTGGCCGGTTAAAATACCCACCTTTCTCGCGAAATCAAGGATGAAACCGCGCGAATTCCAAAACATTTAACGCATTTTTACATCCCTGATTTCCTTTCGGGGGAGGTGGTGATGTGGAAGGGTGGGTTAGGTTAATATTCCGGTTATTTTGTCCAAGATTTTAGCTTTTCACTGTTTTTACCACAGGGAATGGATTTTGAATGGTAAATCAAACTCTCACAAAATATGTCAAAGGGACCGGTTAGGTTTAAAAAACGGGATGTGCATCTTTCCGACCACTGGAGTCTTAGCAGACAAATTAGTAGGGCAAACTGAAACTGTTAAAAAAGGCTGTACAGCTTTTTAAATTAAATAATAAAGAAATGGGACTTAAGTAACTTTCAGGGTTATAACCAGTCAAGTTAATTTCCTGTTCAGAATACTTCCTCGAAATGATAATGGTGATGATAGTTCCCTTGATTGACAGAATTTTGAGTTATTTTTATTCTACGCTGTACTCGTCTATCTTGAGACCTAGCTCAGTCTACAAAGAATGCACTTATTGTAAAATTATATTACTCTCGGTCACATTGAAAACAACAAAGGTCAAATTTATATCCTTATTGTTCCATTTCCTTTTCCGCGTGCCCGAGAAGAGTGTTCCATTAGAGAAGGCAAACACAAGGTTTCAGGGAAAACCCCAGAAAGGATGTCAACAGCCTGAATTGAACAATCTTGTAGATCTTTCAGATGAGCATGCAGAGCGTGTAACAAACTTTTTTTTATTTACGTTGAAAATAATATTCAGTTATTTTAAATCGAATTTCAAAAATACATCGTTTCATCGACAAATATACCGTTTCACTCTTACCGTTAAAACACGTGAAAGTCCGAGTTACAAACTAATCACCCGTTGCATAAGTAAATATTTTCCGCTTGGTTTAAAGAACCAAATTTAACAAAAAATGTGTTTCTATTTTAGGAAGAAACAACACATTTCCCAGTTTCTTTTTCTTGAAAGTGTAATGAAGCAATTTCTGCTGACCTTGGATGACAGTCGAACGATAGCGAAAGAAACGTGTTCGAAATCATTTTCCGCTACGTGTAATATGCAGCGCAGTCGTGTATGATGTCACGTTCGTTCGATATTTCCTCATGATCAAATTCGCGGAATATCTGTTAGACTAACTGAACATGTTATAGTTTATTCAGATTAGGAGGAAGCAAACTGTAATTATAGTTGTAGATGTCTTTAACGACAAAAATAACTGTATGATTCGTTTCGACTGGCTTTTCAGAATTACCGGAAATGTCAGATATAGTTGTCGTATTGCGTCATTTAGCCACGTGAGCCGTATAAAATTGACGCCGGAAATAATTTATGTTAGAAGTTTCGTGCGAGAAAGCGAGGCATATAAGATTCGTCGGATCTGACGGGCCATCTGTGTGTAAATTTAATTTCTGAAGATGGCTGACGATCAGAAAGAAGAGTCTGTCGATGTAGCAGTCGCCGTAACTGTCGCTGTCGAGGCATCACCTAAGCTGTTGATAAATGGCGAAGAATTCACCGCATGTTCGGATCACGACGTAGCGGGATCATCGCCTTCAGAAGATGAAGTAGATCGCAAATATACCCACTCTCCTATTGATTCTCACTCCGACAACGATGTAAAAGATGGAACTGAACCTTTTCAACCTCCCAGTGAAGAACTCTCTGACAAAATCGTCACCCAAGTCGAATTTTATTTAAGCGACGATAATCTGGCTAAAGATGCCTTTCTTCTGAAGCATGTCCGTCGAAACAAAGAAGGATATGTCAATTTAAAGCTTATAACGTCTTTCAAGAAAGTGAAGACCCTAACTAAAGATTACAGAGTCGTTGCTCAAGCCCTGGAAAAGTCAAAGGAGCTTTCGTTGAATTCAGAAAAGACGAAAGTTCGAAGGAATACTGCCCTGCCAGCTGAACTTCTCGAACGCAATCCTGGCCGAACCGTTGTGGTAACGGGACTTGAGAATGCTTCAATGGAAAGCGTGAGCGAAATGTTTTCAAAATGTGGTGAGATTGAGTTAATCCGCATCGTTCGCCCAGGGAAAACGATTCCAGACGATCTGAGGTCCTATTTTTCCAAACATCCAGAACTAGAGACGGAGACTTGTGCTGTTGTGGCGTTTGAAACCATGGCTGCGGCAGCTCGAGCCTGCAGTGATATGTCAAAAGAGGGCGGTATGAAAGTGGTTGAACTTGGCAAGCAAGGACCCAAAAAGGAAAAATCGAAGTCCAAGTCAAAATCAAAGGACAGAGGAAGCGATGTTGTGCGAGATTCTGACGAGGAACACGACGAATCCTCAAAGAAACGTCGGAATAGAAAGAAGAACAAACGAGTACAGGAACTGATGGGAAAAAATTCTGATGATAACTTCTCAAGCTCGTGTTCCTCCGATACTGATAATTCCTACTCATCATTCAGCAGCTGCCGACGTCGACAAAACAGTGGGGGAAGCTATACCCCAGATAGGAGTACATCTCCTGTCAGCAACAGCCCCAGTCCTCGCAGCAGTGCTGGTAACTGGCGGTCACCTCAGAGTAGTCCAGAGATGTCCAGGAAGATGGCAAACACTGGTGTAAAAGAAGGCAGCAGTAGTGCTCCAAATAGCCCATGGTCTCAGCGTCGTAAGTTTGCGTCACCAAATCTTAGCCATTCGCAACACACGAGTCCGCTCGTTGAGTCCTCTAGCCCGCGACACAGAATGATCCAGTTGGAGGGAGTGGAACGACTTCCCAAGGGACCTGATGGCACCAAAGGGTTCCATCACGGTCTTGGCAGAGGCAGGCCTCTTGCAGCAGTGGCTTAAGCTACCTTGTTATATATTTATTTAAAAAGATTGAAATTTATGCATTATTTTAAATAATCCAGTATGTAAGGTTTGCATGCTCTAAAGATTATCAAATTTATCTCTAGTATAGTAGAAACATCTGGTGTTAGCAGACCAGTAAATGCCTGGGCCCAGGTGCTGGATCCACAATTTATTGGGGTATTATTTTGTGATATTTTTATGGTCATTGTGGATAAACATAACCAAATCTCTGAGTGAATGTTCAACATTATTAAATTTTTACCAGCTGTAGTTCCTTCATATGGACGAGGGTTTTATGTTACTGATTTGTTAAAGCAACTTGGGCCTGGTATTTGGTGGAAGATGGTAAATATGGCACTTTGTACATAATATTATGATTAAATCTAGAATAATTTAATTTACTGGTAATACAATATTCTTAGAGGTAGCTTGGGATTCAGCCATTTTTTTTGTTTTTGATAGTTTTTCGTAGATTTTAATACGCAAAGAAAGTATTCATGGTGTAGTGATTTCTCCGGTGGGCTAGATTATGGATTGTTTTTAATATTATAATGTACGGTAATTCGCCTTTCCTATTGGGGGTTCAGAAGCATATAACCCCGGGGTAGACATGACAGCTGTCTTTATGGAAGGGGATTTCCTTTCATCTTGTCTTCAATATTGCACTTTTGTATTAAATGTAAAGAAGTTGATACATGGACTGTAGGTAAAATATTACCTTTTACTTTAAATTGTACATAGCACTTATTCATTGTAGTCCAGGTACTATTCTTATTGTCTGTTATATAATAATATGATGTCACTGTGCTGAAACATTTTTGTTGTTATATAATATACTGTTGAAGAGCTAAATTTTGTGAAATGTTTCAGAATGACAGTAACATTAGTAACATTCTCTACAAAGTTCTGCATTTATAGACGATATTATGATATTCAGTCTGGGAATGCAATAAATGTTCTTAATACTAATTTTTTGCTTTTCTAAAATGCAGTTGCTGTATTAACTACTATGTATGAATGGGGAGTTATTTAAGTAAAAACAGTGATTTTCCAGTAGGGTGATACTGAACAAAATTGTTGTAGTTGACCATGGCTGATGTTTTGCTTAGCTTGACAGAAGTCTTCATTGAAGTCAATGAAATCCAGTCAGTAATACTCTTCCTTTGATGGTATTAAAATACTCGCTGGTTTTTGACGTACTACATTTTCTTTTAACTTTGATTCTGACGTAGACTTCTGCATGGCTTCCTAAAATAATGCCACTGTCATCAACAATCCTGCAAAACCCAGAAGCCACAGCATTCATGACATCTTTCTTGTTTTCAAACTGTTTACTGGATAACAGTCAAATCTCTTGTAAGTCATGGATGCTCTTGGAAAGCAGAAGAAGTATCCATAACTGGAGATGGCTGCTTACTGGAATGGTCCTCCTCTTATTTTGAGGCTTAAAGTTTAAATACTTCAATATTGGCCCCAGGTGGGGTTCCCTTACCCCAAGGTGATTCACCTGAATGTTATTTGGGGTAATGGAATGGGACAACCCTATAGCCATATTATACTACTCTATTGGAGACACAGTTGTCTGATATGTAATTCAAATGGCTGAACTCCCTAAGTTAACAGGAAAAAAGATGTAAATAGCTCAATTTTTTTAAGTTTAAAGTATTAATTTTTGTTACAAGGTCAATTTGAGTCTCATTTAAGTAGATGCTTTTTTACTTTTTTTTTCTTTACAAGGAGATATTAATTTTGTCCTCTTTGTTGTCCATTAGTCCTTAGTAGAGTTAATAATATATTATTATCAATAATAAGTTTGCTCATTGCTAATAAGGAGGCTGAAAAAAGTCGTTTTCTGGATACAATGTTGCATAATCACTGCATTCTTTTGATCTTCTGGGATATAAAATAAATACATTAGGTTTGTCAGAGCTTGAATTATTTGTGTCACATAGTAACACTCTAATGTATTGGCTGATGGTTGGAGTTGTGGTTATTTTTTTTAATTTTTAAAGGTGAAAAAGAATAAAGATTGTCATTGCATAATGCAATTTAAAATTTTTGTTTGTCGTTACATTTATTCTTTCTTAACTTGTTAATTTGTTAAAAAGGTTTTGCCAGGTTACTCACTTAAAATTTTGAAAGAAGGATTTCCTTCAGAACTGTGGTTTCCTTTCCAAAACTTTGTAACAGAAGTAACGCAGGCCAGCTTTCAGGCCAGCCCTTCGACTTTTCAGTTAGCCTGCTAATAAAACCACCTGTCATGGTTTCCCATTCTAATTTTGCAGGAGACATTTCTCAAGGATACACCCCAACCACAGGGAGTGATCGATCAGATGTGGCTATGTAAAGACATGAGTAACTGTTGTTTTACACTGGATTTAGTTGAAGCCCTTGACTGAGTTTCCTAGGGAGACATATTAGCAGACCCTCGATCACTCCTGTAAAGACAGTGGATGCATACATGAGCGCACAATGTAGATCTTGAAGAGTCCCGCATTGCATCCTATACAGAACTTCCCCTCTGCTGTCTTGACATTGTTGCAAATGTAAATGTGTTCCAATAACGTCATTGTATCTATTTTATATACCGTAAAATTCCGAAAATAAGCCCCGGGGCTTATATTTTTCAAAGGTCCTTTTTGAGGGGCTTATATAGGGAGGGGCTTATCTACGGAGGGAAATTTGCGTTTCAAAATCGATTGGGCTAGCCTTATAGTTGGAAAGAAATTTACCGTTTTTCCTTCTTTTACTTTGTATTTGAGGACAATTTTCCAAGCACAAGCCCCCGGGGGGGGGGGGGGGGGGGGGGTTGGGGGGGGGGGGGGGGGGGGGGGGCTTATATTTGGATGGACAATTTAACAGAGGGTTTTTTGCGTTACCGGTTTGGGGGGCTTGTATTTGGAGGGGCTTATACATGGAGGGGCTTATTTTCGGAATTTTACGGTATTTACGCCCTTACCCACCCGTTTTTCAAATTAAAATACTCTTCAAAAAAAGAAGTAAACTATTCAAATGCCAGGTCGCTTCATGATGGTGAGGTTAAGAGCAGGGTATATTCCAGCCCACTCAAATGTTCTTGATGTATCTTTCCACAAATTAATCCATTACTTGAGTGGGTGTGTTCTTTATTAACACTTTCAGATGACAAAGAATCTCCGCCACCACCAACCCCCTTTCTTTTTGAGAGCTGAGTTCTAGTGTTCATTTCATATGAATAGTTGTGATCAGGGCCCAGTTGTTCAAATTAGCGCTAACCTGGGGCTAAATTTTAACCCAGGTTTCTTTCTATTTTCATCAAAACCACTCTCTCAGATAATTTTCTCTATAATTATTTCTTTTCAGAGTATTGAATCATTAAATTGTAGGCAAAGATTTGCTTTTTAAGCTCTAACCCTAACTCTGGGTTATCTTAACCCAGGTTTGAACAACCTGGCCCAGGCCTTACTAGGGCAACTCAGAAAAAGGCTATAGCAAACACTACAGACAAGTCACAACATAACTGTGGTTTACTAAACAATAATTTTAATTTTAACTTTCCTTCCTATTCATAAAAGTGTACATTTCAATCTGAGACTATTTCCTGCCCATAAAAAATCTGCTCTTACACATTATACAAACAATCATTCTAATGATTTTCATTTATGTTTACAAATAACACCCTAGACAATTTTAAATTCTAAAGTGCTTTAAAGCATTCTCTTCTAGTTACTAACAAAGACCTTTACCATAAGGCTGTCTACATTACACCCGATAGCTCTTGCGCAGGCACCAAAACCATGATATTGCATGGGGCCTTTGTTCAATTTAGAACAAAGATTTTGGAGCAGTTCCTGCAAAAGAGCAAGGCTGCACTGCACTGATCTTAAAAGTGGGTTGTCACATATTGGACAGGTTTCTGTGTGCCACTCTTTGTGGCAGAGTCAACAGGCGTTTATTCAAACCAGGCTGGAATATTTTTCATGTTGAGAGAGCTATCTGGTTAGCCTGTGAGCAAGCTCACTTGTGCGATCTTGGGGAAAAAGTTTTGGCAGCAGAGCCGCCATTAGCCTCCCTAGCAGACGTTCTTAGGGGTTTGTCACTTGTTCCTCTAACATGTTCATGGGGCAGGCCTAAGAACATTTGCGTGGGAGGCTAAGCCACCACCAGCATGCACCTGGTCTGTTCATCAAATCATAAATCTGCTAAGCTGCTTTATATTCCTTACTGTCCTAAATTCTAATGACCTGCTAGGAAACCTTGAAATTAATATGGGCAAATTTAACTCAATATGAGACTGCAATGTACATGTACCTAAATATGTAATAAAATACTAAATTATGAAAAAGTAACACTTGCAACTATGTCATGACAAATTAAGTGAAAGGATAATGCTTAGACAGCATGGTTGCTTCCACTAAGAGATGCTAACGCCAGCATTACCATTTCTCAGTGAAATACTTTCTTAGGTTAATTAATATTGTTTTAACAACACTCTATTTTAACAAATTGACCAAAAACTTGAAGACTTGGCATTAATTTTTAGGTATTGTATCAAATTATATACATTGACAAATACAAATTATATTTAAGAGTTTGTTTCAATTTTAAATACAAAATACGTTCATGTTGATTAAATATATGTGTATAAAATTACGGAAATAAATACGTCTGCTCTTTTAAAGAGCGCCACTGTTGCTTCCTTGATTGTTAAACCACAGTGATTTTCAATTGAAGCAGTTTCTATTATCAGAAGTATTTTTTTTTCTTTTTGAAAGATATAATAATACAGTGATAGAAACAATTTCAAGGCTGTGAAAGTTGTCTCTTATTTTCTCAGAGAGTGCAAGGAGGAGTAATGCATGCATGGGAAGGGGGAGGGGGTGATCATCGGTGCGTGTCACTCTCACCTTATTCTGATCCAACACTACTCATCGTCAAGGAATAAAATCTTTGTACAGTACTTGCCAGAGAATGAAGTAAGTCAAATAAATCTGAGCCTGCAGTTTTCACACTGTTGCTAGGCAAACATGCAGTCTTACAGTAAGAAATGAATATTTTGAGTGAAATTGGATATTAAGTCATTTTGAACATGGTGTTTCCACAAGCAATTAATTCTAAAATATTTTTTTAAATTTGAACACACAAATTGTCATCTAGTAAGGTGCAATTTCTACTTATATGAGCTCCTAGATCGTCTTCCAACATCTTAAGTGTTTTTCGCACCTGCAAGAGAAAGGACCATGACTTGAACATGATCTGCAGTGTGGTAGACAAAGTGCCACTAACAGATAACATAAAGGTATCTTAAAAATCACATCCACTCACTATTTGTTTATATACCCTTTTTTGTGGGGCCTTTAATTCGACATACCCTTAAATAAATAGGCAAAATTACAGTAAAATTGTACCTGTGCTATAGCGTTTAAATTGGCAGCTACTATTGTTTTAAATCTGTAAAAGAAGAAAAGGCATTTGTAAAAGTCATCAACTTTGAATATTGTACTTTCTGTAAATAAAACTTGGCTTGTCATTATCTCTGGTAGCCTACAAAGAGACTTTAAACCCTACCTGAGAACCTCTGCATCAAAAACTTCCTGACGGAGCTTCCAAAGTTGATACATAGACTGATGACTGGAAAAAAAAGCTAACTTTAATACAAATTAAAGGGTAAAAATAATAAAAATCATGACAATAATTAATTAATGAAAATATTTTGTTAAAAAGATCTTTAATGGATTTGGATTAGCTTTGCTGCCTCCCATTGTTCCCTGTTACTGGGACATTAACAGAGCTCTCATGAAACATTACCCACTGTGGAAAGGAGAAAAGAGATATGGATGTATTCTTAGGCTAAATTTGGATGAAACAATTTTACTTCTGTTTACTTCTGTGAGACGGTGGGCCTCTGAAAATATTGCGCAAGGTATTTCAAATACTAAACTAAACCTGAATCTGTCTATTATACATGTACACAATGCTCCTTGACTTTATAAAAATGAAACCAATGTTCAATTAAAACCCATGTGAGATTTTTCTTTAGAACAGAATGATGAACTCACAGGAGAATTTTTTCAGGGGGATGTGCTGTTTTTGCCATGATCTTTGGTTCCAGTAAAGAGATACGATGCAACAGGAAAAAACTACACATCATCAAACAGAGTATCCTGAAATGACAAAAGGTGATTAAAATATTAAGTACACCAAGTACAACAGAGCATAGCTAAGAAGAGGATAATTTTCAACAGCAACATCATTATTTGGAACCTCAAAGTCCTAAGAATGGCAATTAAAAGAGACTAAACTGCCCAACATAAAAAAATAACTTTTAGAAAATACTCAGGCGGTGGTGTTGTTGTTTCAAAGGAGGAGATAATACGGGTGAAGTTTAGTTTTTACTCCCTAAAATATTAATCCCTTGTGTCCCCCACACACCTTAGTGAACAACAAGACAGTGAATCTGTTTGGGCATCTTCAATGAAGGAACCAAGGCCCTGAGGACTCGAGAGAAGCCCCAAGGTTGGGAGGGAGGGAATTGAAACAGCAAATGAAGCGACTGAGCAACACAAATGATCAGATTACAAGAAGATGTCAGTTAACACCCAGCTGGCAGACAGCATGGGGTATTCCCTAGGAATATTAACCAAGGAGATGTAAGTTATATTTTTGGGCCATTAACTGTGTGCTAGGGATCTCAGCTGTAATTGGCAAGCAAAGCAAACCAAGAGGACATAGGCAAGAGCAACTTCTAAGGGGCAACTGAGTATTCCGTGATCATAGAGGCAAATCTTTTCTACCCCTCTAGTTACCTTACCGCGCAGGGTTTGCCTAAAACACAGAATCTGGAAAAAACCCACGCTGAATGTTGAATGACGGAAGTTTAGTGATTAGGGTTAGGAAACTGAGTGAATAGGTCCATTTCGGGTCATTATACTGGGTTAACTGACCTGAAAGGTTCACTCGGTTTCCTAACCCTAATCACTACACTTGAGAGTCATTTCAGCGTTCAGCGTGGGTTTTTTCCAGACTTCGGATTCCAGGTTGAAGGCAAACCCCACCGGGCAAGTTTACTTTGATGATGTCTGTATGCACAAAAAGTCACTACTAATGCTTTTAACAGAGCTCAAAAAGAGAGCTTGATTGATGCGTGCAATATTTGAGAGCTTGCATTTCAAGGGCTAGAGAATGAGTTACAGAAGCAAAAGGCAAGCAAAGGAAAGGGTAAGCAAAAAGCTAGAGTTCAAAACGTCAGCTTTTAAATTTCTTTGTCATGTCCACTAATATGTAACAAAATTTCACTTGTGGTTGATCTGTTTAAATGGCATCTGACAAGAAAACTTTGGCCTTCATTATTTATTTTCTTTCAGTGAGTACTACAAAATTCACTTGTCCAGGTAGATACTTACATAATAGAAGTTACTATATAAAATGGCTGTTCTCTTGAAAGCCTAAACATTAATTAAAGACAAAAGTACTGTTTAGTAAACACATTTTTTCATTTAGCATAAGGATATTTGCCCTGGCAAAAAATGTCTCATCTTCGGTGTAATATAATTTATCACTCACAGCTGACGTAAAACAAAGAAAACAAAACACCCCTAACAAAAAATGTATCAGTCATCCCGATTTGATCATAAAAAATACTTTTTCAGAAAATAAAACATATATTATATGTGTATTTTTCCAGAATTTCAGCTCTACATGTACGCACGGGCGTATGTGCATATGGGAGCTACGCCCCTGCATATGGGCAGTCCATGGACTGGGGGTCAGTGTTTTGTCCACCACCTTTTTAATTCTGGCAATTATATCTGGCATGACTCACCTTTGAACTAATCTAAAACTGACTTGCAAATATGAATACACAGTCTCAGCGACTGAAGCTAGGAACATTGCAATACCAGCTGAAACACAAAAATAAATTCAGTTCAAAAGCAAGGTCTCAATAATATAGTTTATCAAGTAAATCATACCATCAGTTCTTATTCTTTGTCAGAAAAATTTATTCTACAAAGAATAACAATGATTTATAAATGATTCCTGACATTAATAATGGTGTTCTGGATTAAAACAAAATTGAAGGGTTGGAGAAAAAAGCCTATGTTGAATTTTTGAGCCAAATGTGCAAAATGCTCTTCCGCATATTATCCACATTGCTAAACTGGCAAAATGAAATCCCATCCCATCCATAGAAGAGTTCCAAATTGTTCTCTCCCTTTCCTCTAAAAAAATTCCACATCCTGGGCATATAAAAGACATATCCCAGATCCTAAAAAACCTATTGGGACCCACCCTCCCACAGGTATCAGTATTCCAAATATTATGACTCATCTGCACATTAATTTTATAGTATAATATCTTATTTTATTACCACAGCCAGAAATTCTCGAGGATTCCGAGGGGTTCTGCTGGTCTTTATCAGGGAGAGATGATGTATTTAACACCATGTCTGTCTCATCATATGTTAACTTGTCTGTTGGTGTTAGTCTAGCCTGTTGACACTCAACGCATCCTGATGTGTTTTCTCCATGTTCCGCAGAGCAGCTTAAGTGCTCCTCATTACATTCTGGAAGTAATAAGTTCAGCAAAGTTTATTCACTGCTGACACCAAACCCATCAGACACTGACAATAAAATTTGATTAAAACCTGTCAAACCAATGTTAGAATGGGCCCATATGTACATCAATGAAATCTCAAAAGAAATTGTGGTGACTGAGGAAATTTGATCTGTCAAAGAAACCTAACTCTTGACAATGTCATGTTCAAACAGAAAGGTGCCAGATGTAGAAAAACTGGAGATAGAACTTGCTTGCCTACTGGGAATTGCCTGTACTGTTCCCACGAGAACAAAATGGGTCATGGGTCATGTTCAGCTTATGCTCTTTTTTTGGTAGCCTGCAAATACAGCCATCACTCCTTGCTCTTCGCCACTAGGGAATTTCTGTTGTTGAGGTGCAGATGTCACTCCTGTAAAACATCTCTTGCCTTGGAGCAAGGAGAGATGGCTGTTTTCGTGGGCTAATTTTTTTGTATTTTTGTCAATAGAGAGATTAAGAGTCACGTTTATGGCAAATGGAAAACGTGAATTTGTACCAAGAGACCAAGTTTTCCCTTTACTTGTCATTTTCCATTCATTATAACTTCATGGAAATCAGTGGATTCATGTTAGATTTATCCATAAAAATTGCCTTGAGCTGTTTTAAACTGTTCATTTTCTAGTTTGAGAGAGTTTCTCAAATTGAATCTGACATTTGCTGTTTGCTGCTGACATAATTTGTAGGCATTTGACTTCAAGCTAGTTTAATAGAGTACTAAAGTGTGACGTCATAAAAATGAAATTTCTGAAATTATGGGATTGGTCCGGATATTCTGAAAGAACAATGTCCAAGAGGCCTACTTGCCAAAAATGAGCATTTGGGGGCAAATTGTCTCTGAGATCGTAGCCCAGTTATACTCAGAAAACTCCATACAAACCCTTCTAATTTTTTTTTGGGTCGACCCAAAAAAAATTTAGAAGGGTTTGTATGGAGTTTTGTAAGCATAACTGGGCTACGATCTCAGAGACAATTTGCCCCCAAATGCTCATTTTTGGCAAGTAGGCCTCTTGGACATTGTTCTTTCAGAATATCCGGACCAATCCCATAATTTCAGAAATTTCATTTTTATGACGTCATCACTTTAGTACTCTATGATGCATGTATTGCTAAAGTGGTTTGTACAGGAGCCAATAAGCAAGTGAGAGATTAATAATTAAAAATTACCATCATTTTCACCATCATCCTCTCTAGCATCAGGTTCACCATCTATGCCCTGTGTTTGCTGGTCATCTGGACATGAGCCACTCATCTATAAAATATGCAAACTCATTACAATCAGCTATTTTATATAGTGCAGACCAGAAAAGACAAGACACATGACGTTTGAAGCTGGTGATGAAAGTTAATTTAACACTTCCTTTCTTGGCTTTCAATCGCTGTACTCTTTTGATTACCTTACAAGTTTGAAAACATCTACACCTTAAGTAGTTGGGGTTTATTTATTTATTTTATTCATTTTTTATTTTTTTATTGACAACAAATTAACAACATTAATACACAGCACAAATTAAAAGAATAAATAAATAACTAAGTCAGTAACTAACAAAACAAATTACAATAAAAACAAAAAGTATTGCAGGATAAAAAACCTGTCAGTTGCCACACATATTTAATATTGTTTGCCACAATTTTCAATGTGATATTGTTCAAAAAGCTTACGTAAAAATTCATCTAAATTAGGTGTCGTTACGATGTTCTTGGAAGTATACAAGTATTTCTTTTGCAGTAAATTACCAATAGAAGAAGTTTGCTTTGAGTTGAATTTGGCATTTGCATTGGAAGGGAGTCATTGAACGTGTTAAATAAAATTTGCTCGTTTGCTTGTTTGTAGTCATGGTTTTTGTTATTTTTGTTTCCCTTTGGGTTTGGTAGTAATAAAATTGGCAAATAATTCTACCAACCACATATATCATGCCCAGCTTTTTGCCATTAAGGCCCTGTTTGCACCATGCAAAATTTCATTTGTTTTGCAAAAAATGGGAAGCCATTTCTAGGGCAAACAATTTTTTTCACCTACCAAAATTTTCTCAAATGTCACCAAACTTCAAAACTGGCATCGAGAAGATTTGGAGCCCTACAATTTTTTTTTGCTTCAAAATCCTTTGTTCCTTGACAGCTATCCTTCATCCGGTCATCTTATTTCGTGAATGTGACCAATAATATATTATAGTCCTTTAAGTGACATTTTGGTTACAGGAAAACTTTCTTGTGTCTCAGGTGCAAACAAGTCCCAAATTTTCACATTTTTTGCAAATAGCAGACTCCATTTTTTCTTGTAGTGTACAGGGCCTAATAATATTAAATTACTGAGCGTTAGATGATTTTGTTAGTTCTTAGAAAATTTTACAGTCATATTTTAATAATATGTAAAGTAATAACGACATTTGCCACTTTTTGTTTAACATTTCACACAAAGCCATGTTTACAAACTTTCTGGAATTGGGAATTGGGAAGATTATAAAGGCAACAAATGAGAATTTAAATTTTGACATTAGGGTTTAAAAGGTTCAATGAAAAGATTAGATTAAAACAAATTGGGATGTTGCATCCATTGGGAAGTGAAACAAAAAAAAAAGGATTTGATTAACCAAAATTTATTATTATGTTTATAGTGCTGTCATAATTTGATGATATTCACCTGAATTTCTTCTTTTGATGTATCTGACTTCTAATTTGGTTAAAAAAAATGAAAAACATGCACTTAACATTTACATACTGCTTTATTACAGAAATACCAATATGAGATGATCTTTATAAAATAACTAAGGTAGTACGCGCGCTCTGATTGGCTGAGAGGAGCGTTTGCATGAGAGTATGTAAACATGGTTGTGGCGTCAAGTTGCTTGGCTTTTCGCGCGCTAATCACGCAAGCACGAATTTGAAAAAGTTTTCAAGTTCAAAACTCGACAAGTTCACTTTATTTACCTATTCCTTCATCGGCTGAAACTTGGAAAATCGTTACAAAGAAAGTGTGTCAATTTTTTTTCGCTTAAGCTGACATTTTAAGCGAGAAAAGTCCGCATTTTGGAAAGCATCTTTTTGCAAAACAAGAACTGATTACGCGTACAAGACTTCGTGGACAAGACTTTGCGACTGGTAAGAATTTCTCCTTTAATCAGTGCCATGCAAAGAGTTTTGCGTTTTTTCTCGGGAAATTTATTTTATAAAAGCAATAGAAAACTTTTTTTCCTGTGTTTGCATAGCCTGATATAAACACTCGAGGCGTTGGGAGAATGTTCGACAGCTATGCAAACTGCTATGCAAACAAGGAAAACGTTTTCTATTGCTTAAAATTAATAACCTTTAATTTTAACCACACTGTATTTACTTTGTTGCCTGCATCTTCAATTTTCTGTCAAACATGGTACTGAGAAATGTTTAAATAATATTTAATTGTTCAATTGTTTTAATGCTAAACATTACACACACATCACTCAACAAAATTATTTTGCTTTAGGGTTGTTTTTCATCTTTTAGGATAATAATATAATCAGCAAGGTCTTTCAGCCCAATTCATGGAGTATACCTACATTTGGCTGGCTCAATTTTGATAAATTAAAATACATATTATTCATACTTGATTTTCAGGCTTTAGGAAATAAAACAAAAGAATCCCTGAAACACAAGTTGATACCATTGCTTTATTACTGCAAGCCTCTGAGCCAAGTATGAATTTAAATTTTGGAGTATTATTATCAGCATCATCATCATCATCATCATCATCATCATCATCATTATCCTCAACATTAATTGGTACTGGAGCTCTTGACATAAAGTGTTCTGTCTATCAAGTCAATGACCTCAGAAAGAAGCACCTTTCGCTGGATATTAGCTGTACCAAGCAATGCTGATTCCTGCATCATCGAGACATGCACTTTAATCCCAAGACTTTCAAGGTGGCGATACAAATTCTTAGGAATGGAGCCAAGGGCACCAATCACCACAGGAACTACTTCTCTCAACATGTTCGATACTCTAGCAATTTCTACTCCCAGGTCCGAGTAGTTATTAATCTTCTTAAATTTCTTTATTATTATTATTATCATTAATACTAACCTGTTGTTTGTTTTTCACTTCATCCCAAACTTGAACAAGAAGCTTGTATACAGTTTCCCTCGACAAGAATGAAGAGAAGAAGTGCTGTAATCCAAAATTATTATTATCAGCAATATGTTTTAAACTGTTAGACTGCATAAAAATTATTATTGTTTGTGACCCATCATAATTAAATATGCCATTACATGTAACATTTTGACTGGTCTTATATCTAAGACAATAACATGTAGTTTTAATTGAAAAAATTTTGTTATTTTAAACTTAAAAATTTAAACATGACACAAAGGATAGATATCATACTCCACTTATTAAAATTCTGTGGTTTGAAATTAGCATCATGTTATTTTAGGAATATGAGATGTTTGCTATGATTGCACATGATTGTCACTTTGAAAAGAAATATACTGGAAACACTGTTACCAATGAACTAAATAACGTCGTGCATTTTCCAAAAATAAAATTTCTCTCATATACAGTGACTGTACTGTAGTTAACAACAGTGTAAGGGGGGTGGAGTGTTGATAGTAATAACCTCTCAAAAGCTCAAACTAAAGAAAAATCCCAAAATGTACTGATCTAAAGATCGTGAAGACATTAATGCAGTAGTACAAAGTGAAAGTGCTAATCTGAAGAGGTTTTAAGTTACGATTTCATCCACACCATCAAAAGTCAGAACCACATGCTGGTATAATATGCATGAAAAGTGCAAAGTTGAAGGAGGCAGTTCACATTTTTATTTACATATTTTCTTGTCTCAAAAATTTACCTTTTCTTCATCAGTACATATCAGTATAGCATTGGGCACAACATAGGCAGTTTTCTCTCTTGTGATGGACTGGATCCTTTTACAGTCAATCGTTACCTGTAGTTAAATTGAATACCGGTAAGCCAAACAAATGACATTAAACAGACACATCCACATTAAAATTGTATTTTAAGAGACGGCTTGAAAAAAAAACAAACAATTTGATCAAAATAATAAATAAATAACACTAGATTGTGGCCCATGCGGACCAATAAGGACATGACAAAGACAAAGGTCCATACCTGTGTTTCCCAGCCAAATATATTTGAATAGAAGCAAACCCATCCTTGGCTAACATAGATTCTTCCTTGGAGCAAAATTTCACGACTTAAAGCACAGGTAAAATCTAACAACGAAAATGAAAGGTTGGTTTTATGAATCAAAGCAATCAAAAAGAATATGATGCAATGGTTTCTGCATCATCCTGAACAGGATACCTGATCAGTCTAGGTTATTTTTCCACTTGGATTTTTCTTAACACAGCCAAACCCCGCTTTACAGATACTCACTTAACCCTTTAAGTGCCAAAGGTGACCAACATCAATTTTCTCCTAACGATATCCATAATAAAATTTGTCAAGAGACTAGGTTATGAGAATTAATAAAATGATCAACAATGAGAAAAAGCTTTGATCTTTTACCAAATTCTCTCAACACATTCTTTATGGAAATGTATAGAGATCAGTTTGGAGAATTTGTATGTGGATATTGGGACTTAAAGGGTTAATACAGACACCTCATTATTTCAGAGAGTTTGCTTTGCCCCCAGGGAGAGAAAGCCCTAACATGACGTTAAATTTATTCAACACAGTTAACATCAAGGAGCAAGGGCATGGTCAGCGGTCAGTCGTTTGGCTCAAGTGTGATCAGCCTTGCTCGCATCACCTCCATGTGCTCAGTACAACATTTTCCTGGCGGCCACTCTCTACATTTAGCCTTTGGATCATTCCTTTACCCCCATCCCCCCCACCCTTAATTTTTTCACTGATAAATCAGTGTGACAGGTGCCTGGTTCTATTGGCATGGGGGCTCATGGTTGGAGGGTGCTGGTTTGCCAGCCATGGGGGTATAACTCTGTCTAGGGGCTGGCTGTGGAAGCCCCTGGACATCCCGGGCACCCACCTCCACTAAGCGACACAGTTGTTCAATTTTCTCTAAATGGACACTCTGTTAACACTGACATTTTCTATGGCCCCTCAGTGTCCGTGCTTTACAGCAGGCACCTGTTTAATATAGACACCTCATTATTACAGACAGTTTGCTTTGTCCCTGGGGAAAGGAAGCGCTTACACTTTCTCTAAATTCGACCTGCTTAAAACAGACACCCCATTAATATGGACACCTTCTATGGGCCCCTCGGTGTCCATATTGAAGGGGTTTGACTGTATAAGTAATATTAAAACACTGTTGAAGCTATGACCTTCTTAATCCCTTCTTGAATCAAGCCACCCAAAAAGATACTCGCCAAATTATCCTCCCCAAATAAATCCCGGAATCGAAAACTTCAAACCCAAAAAATTCCTGCAATCATCTCTGTCACTTGAGCCCCAGAGTGCCCACCCCCGGGAATGAATGTAGAATAGGACCATCATGAAAACAAAAAGAACTTTAGCTTACCATTTATTGGAAATTGGTCCATAGGGACAGTTTTAAAGAGACGATGAAACTCATCATAAGGAGAACGTGTAGAAAGAAGTGACTGCAAGTGAAAGCACAGCAAACATGCTACATTTCAGTTTTAGCTATTCACATATCTACCCCTAAACCCTCTTTCTTCACATTTGACACATGAAGTCATTAAATAAAAGTTCTTATATATTTTTATTTGCTGGTTTTCCTACTGAGGAAGGTTCTAATAAAAATTATATAAACTATTAGACATGGGGAGCAAACCGTCTAAAATGTAAAATTCACCTATCGTTTGCCCCCTCCCTGCCCCCTCCCCTTGAAACTAAGTGCAGAGAAGATCATGACAGTTAAATACGCAAATTAGCAAACTATTGTGCAGCTTTGAATAATGATTTGTTGAATGCAGGTCTTAATGTTCCACTTTGTTCCATTCACTTTCTAAGTATTTAAAAAAACACTTTGTTATTTTCGCCTCTTTTTATTGAAAATGAAGAACATTTCAGAAGGAAAAAGAAAGAAAGCAAAGTTTCTCTCATAATAACAAAAACGCTTTTTAATAGCGTTAAGTTAAGCTTGCTTGGATTATATAAGAAATGAGGAGTCGATTAATTCTACAAGAAACAGGATTTCCCCGCTAAAAGTTTCTCACAGCCTACTTTATCGACAGTCATGTATTCTTCAGGATATATACTTTTTATATCAGATTTGACGATTTGTTTCTGTATGCGTGCATAAATACCCGAAAATCAAAGGCCTCAATATGAGAGAAATTACATCATTGCCAAAGAACTAAAACGTGATGAACTTGGCATGTTATTTCAATCATTGCCGAAAATGAACCACAAGCTTATCACAAGACTACACCTGACCAGTTAGCCTTTAGTCACCATCAAAGTTTTGCTCACAAAGATTCTTTTTTTTTTCAACCACATCGACATCTTTCACATCAATCTTTCCTAAGCTTCTGTAAGCTTCAGTTCTTCACAAAATATGTGTGGAGCACTGACATGTTGCGATTCTTATCCCCAGTTTCCACAGTCTCCACTAGGAACACCTGGAACCATGATTCCCCTTTTGGTGTGCACACACACGAAATAAATGAAAAGAAAAATAAACGCTTGCAATTTTAGACTCTCGCTCTGCTAAAGCAAGCTCAACTAGCTCTGCTAAAGCAAGCTCTACTAGAAAAACTTCGCAAACATTTATATTAGCATACTTTCACAGAAAAAAAAAAACATCATCTGCAGAACAATAAACAATTTTACCTGCCTAGACTCTCCCATGAAACATTATACTTTTTTTAAAAATAATAGTTATAATTGCCTTTATCATTTTTTTCACACCAACGATAAATAATTGCTTGCAGTGGACGCAACAAATCAACATACTAAACAACCCGTCTTCTTGAAGAAGAAAGAGAAAAACAATTAAGACTTGTTATAACAGCAGCAGGTCAGAAAAGCATTTAGTGTTCAGTTAATAATTTGAGTGCATGTTTTGATGTGAGTAATTATTATGAGAGAACCAACTGACAAGGGCATCAATGGGCATCAGTTACAAAGATCCTGGGTATTCAAAAAAGCCTATTCAGAAATTAACTTCAAAATTTATGCAACAATATGAATATTATCAGTATGAACTTGTGATACACTATATAACCACTACAACAATAGACATAGATATTGATCACTTCCAAAGGAGTAAAAGTCAAAAGATTAAAGCAAACCAGGGACAGTTTGCTGATAACTCATTGTCATTTTAATGAAGTGATGTGACACATCAACAGTTTCACCCTAAAATAGTTCTCAACACAATGGAACAATTAATTCTGCGATTCAAAAAAAATATTTCATGCATTCTTGTTTTGAACAAGAGCATGTTGACATTTAAAACAGCACGTTTTCTGAAAACAAACTCCACCAACCTAAAAATTATCTCAAATCGGTTATTACCACCTCTGAAACACATGAGCAAAATAACAGATAAATGAGGAGCTGAATTTTCTTTTTCACAGTTGTATCTTCTTAGAAATCAATATGCCTATTCAGGTTATTTTCTAATGTGTGCTAGATATACTGAGAAAGAAGAGTTGGTTAAAAGGCAAGAGTTAATAAACAACAGTGGCTTGACTTTAATTATCATATGCAATTTCAAAGGATTGTCATTCACAAAACTGACAAGCTAAATTACTTGAAGATTATGATTTTTTTGGTCATAGTCATGAAGAAATAGAAAAATAAAGAAAAAAAAACTTCTTCCTGCACAAGACTGGTTTGCTTTGAGGCAATTAGAATTTTTCTTTTCTTTTCTTTGTTTTTTTTTAATTATCCTCACTAAGACTTATTTAATCTATGCTGCTGTATGAAGCTTGACATTTTTGTGAAATGTAAAGTTTCAAGCAAGTGTTCACGAATGTGCAAGTGCCAATGAAAACAGAAAACTTGAATACACAAGAAGTGACAAGTAGATTAATAATAATAATAATAGTAATAATAATATTTTTCAGAAGCCAGTGGAATCATACGTCAACGCAGAAAAGTTGTTTACATAAGAAACGACAGGTAGAACTACTGCTCAATAGCTTCAATATAAGAATTAACAATGAGTACTGAGGTATTATTAATAATCATTACATGAGTTGGCGTTAAAAGTCACTGAAATGCATTTAGTTACACTTTGCAGGTCTGTGTAAAAGAAAAAACTTGGCAAATAATTAATTTTCTTATAACTAAATGAAAAGTAAATCTGTTCCTACTGGTCAAACTGCAAATATAAACAAAATTAAGGCATTAAAAGGATCCAAGACCTACAATGCATTTATTGCAACAAATTGTGCATAAATACTTCATGCTCAATGTCTCACGACTGAATAATTTTGTGCACCATAAAAATAACTAAAAAATTAAACTCATAGCATGCTGGATGCATTTTTTAAAAGAAGAGAGAAAAAAAACAGTGAAAAACTAAAAAGGGTTAGAAAACGTACTGGAAGGTATTTCCACTCATACAGGTTTTTTCCATGTAAATAAATAATTAATGGTGCTACAATCCAAACAGGGGGATATCCAAACCATCCTGAGAATGAGTTGAGCCAAAGTGTGACAAGGCATCTGAATTAGAGCTACATCAGACATTTTGCAAGTGACACATATTCATTAACATACCATTCAACCCTGTCAGGTAATTTCCAATTGGAATATATAAAGTCAATAACTTTAGATCTTCTCATACAACTCCAGTGTTACATTTCACTGGCACTCTTCCTTTCCTTAAAGTTTTACAGTTACAGCAAAATTCTCCGTGTGATCCACCAGGTGCTGGTAATAATGTCATACTTCATGCGACACTCAACAAAATCAGTACATTTATTTATTATTTTTCTTTTTAGGGGCATTTGGATTATTGAGAAATACAACTCTGGGTGCAATAAAATTCATTCTGAAAGAATCACATTTTGACTATGAGAAAATCAATTTTGTCAAAATCTCACAACTTATTGAGGCAACATTTCTAACTTCAAGTATCTAAGGTGGTTCTAAGTAAACAAGGAAATTTTACCCATCTGTTCTGTAAGATTTGTCCTTTACGTCTTCCTTTGCTTGTTGCTTTAAAGGTATCATCCTTAGATCTCCCAAAAACACTACTGTGTCTTCTTAATTTTCTTTTTCCTTGACTCATGACTCTTAAAGAATTTGCCTGAATTTGCTCAGGGTTGTCATGTTAAAATATGCAAGGAACATACTGCTGAATCGCTTGAAAGGAAGGACCAGTCCTTTGAAATTACTTCTCAGCAGATAATATATTCATAGTTCAAAATAAACCTCTGTGTAGTTACAGGAGACCACAGGGAGAGCAAAACACAATGTGATTGGTCAGCTAAATAGGGCAGGTGGAGAGGTGAATCAGAAAGGTCCATAAAGTAAATGGTTTGTCTTGTGAGAAAACACAATAGAAATGAGCTGTGAAAAACAAAACAGCGATCTTTCATTTTATGTTCTTTCAATGGAGTTTCCATGTAGAGTCAAAAACATATACTGAGAAATGATACCTTTGTATAAACAACTGATATGCAAACTACATCCAGGCAAATTACTGAGGAGACACAATGAAAACTCAAAGCAAAACGTTTTAATAAGACAGCATCAAACTTTCTCACAACACATCATTGTGGAGAAATCATTAACTTCCAGATGCACTGGATCACTGATACTGTAAAGTTTTAATGAACATGGCATCTACTAAAGTATTAAGTCCAGAATGAGCATAATAAAAATGTCAATTTTTCTGGTGCCAATTCCACCTGTTAGTGTTAATTTTGTGTTAATAATTTACTAACCCTTCAAGTCCCAACACTGACCACCATCAATTTTCTCCTAGTAATATTAATACATTATCAAGAGAAAGTTATGAGAAATAATAAAACTATGATCACCAAAGGAAAAATGCTTTGATCTTTTATCAAATTCTCTGAACTAATACTTTAAGGAAATGTATGAGAATCAGTCTAGAGAGTTTGTATATTGATACTATGTTGGGGTTTGAAGGGTTAAATACTTACAGTAAATATTCAGATTATATTACTCTTGTGGTACTTCTATCAAGCAGTTGCAACAATTCACCAGAGTTTAATCATGATACACACAGAGAAAGAAATAAATATCTTTTTTAGTTGAACATTTAATTAGCAATAGCTTGCCAGATTTTTGGAATAACAAAAATTTATGCAATATGAGAAATATTTAAACAGATGTTACTTGAATAACCTGTCATCAAAGAAAAGCTATAATTGGCAGTATGTTATAAATAGATACATGTATATGATAGATTACCAGAACTGCTTTCTAAGTGCAATAATGTTTTCCATGTTGAATTATGTATGCAAGATTGTAATGTAAACTACAGTTAAAATGAACAAAATTACTCTCATGCAATAGTTTAAATTTTGTACCAATAAAAATGCCTAATTATATGATGCTCATTGGAGTCCACTGATTTGCCATGTACAGTCAGAATTCTAAAGTATGAACTGTTAGAATGGAAATGGTTTTTGATACATTTTTCCTCACTGATGTAAAAAATTTACACTAGAAATCCAAATAAGTTATAATAATAAAAGAGAAATTCTTGGAATAATCATTTCACACTAAAGATAGACCTTTCAAAGCTGAGAGCTGTCAGTCAGTAAGCAGCTAGGAAATTTATATGAAAAAGAATGAACGTACAACACTCTTGGAAACAGATTAATTTTTCCCCAACAAATGATTTAAAAATTTGAAATGGTGACAATGAAAATAATGAATGCTTGTGAGCTCAACTGTAGCCATAGGGAGGCAGCAGGAGTCAAAAGAAAATGGAAAGCTTGTCTATAAAGAACCTGAAAAGTCACTATATCCAGTTATAGCAAAGCAACTTGGCAGTATAGTAATCCAGTCTAATTTCAGACAACAGTTTGGTAATATTTACAAGTCCTTACATTTGTTTAACAATAACATGCCATTAACACAACCAAAACAGCATGGGCAATGAAGGGCATACATGGTAACAATAATTATGTCCCATTCCAGAGAAAATTTCCAGCATTCAACGTTTTGCTTGTCCTACTGCTGTAACAGTTAAATGGAAAATTAGAGAATTATTGGAGAATCTCACCTTGAAAAAGTTTGGAGTCCTGTCAGCTTTTATTATTTGAGACTGTACAAAAAAAAGGAAACAAAAATAATGATTAAAGAAAAATTATTGAACTTAGGTCATTAAATGATTACAGTGGAGCTCTTGTAAGTGGACATCCTCGGAATGTGAAAAAGGTTTCCATAACTGGAGCTGGCTGCTTACGGGAATGTAAATATACAGAGTTTGTATAGGAATTGAGAAAAATAGGGTTTTGTGAAGGTGGCCGTAAGTAGAGCTGCCTGCTTACGAGTCTGTCCGCTAGGAGAGTTTCCACTGTACAAATTTTGTCTTAGGAGTGAGTTTCTGTTAGTTTCATTTAAGGCCCTGTCACACAAATAGGCAATTAAGTTGTGGAACTTGTCTTCAAAATTTTAAATGCTTAGTGCTGGTAATGTAAAAACAATAATTTCTTTCTTTTGGCACAGACATTATAAAAAGAAGAAGTTAGTTCCAGTATTTGGAATATAATAAGTCACCCTACACTGTACCAGAGTTTCTGAAGCACATAAATAGTTTTACATATTGATAACAATGTTTCTATACTACAATTTTGTGTGACATAAAATGATTTCTGCTTCTTTCCCATGATGTAGTAGTCTCGTACATAATACAGTACATTGTACTTCTTAACTGCACACAACATTGCCAAACATTAGCTGTAGGAAACCTAGAGGGTAAGGAAGGTTGCTAATTTTCTTGCAACGAAAAAAGGAGCTGGACAGTTTAAGAGTGGGTAAGCACACAAGACGGGAACTGAGTGTGGAGGTGAGGAGAAGGTGGACAAGTAGTAAGGATTATTTGAACATGACATTTCTTGATCTTCTGCTACCCTACCCCTCTAAATAATGACCACATTTTTAGCTTTGGTAAGGCAAGTTGCAAAAAATGTTGCTTGGTGGTAAACCACATTCCATAAATGAAATAAATCAAGCAGAAAATCAATAAAATTACGTCACGCTGTGAGCAATTATTATTAGTAAAAGTACACAATTAAAAAATGCTAAGTCATGAATCACATGCAAATAAGGAACAACTGATCCAAAACAACCTATCAGGTCTCAGCTAAAACCTCACGTGATAAGAACACATCAAATGTTTTTTCAAAGATAGGCAAATATTATTATATTGTTAACCCTGGGAAAAGGTTGTGTGCAGCAGCAAATAACTTAAGATATTTAAGTCCCCAATCTCATATCATACCTCAAATTTTGAAGGTTGTTTGTGATAAAACAGGAAGTTGTTGAACAACACATAATTAAAATTCAATTTTAGACTGATGTGTTACTAAGCTACTAAACAGTGTTCAACTAGGTGTTAATTTGACGACGCTGGGAATATAAAGTTAAACTTGTATATACAGTTCAATTTGAGCTTGTAAATTTGAGTCCTTTTATCCCTTACCTAGTTACAGTTTGTCTTCAGGTTAATTATGTATTGTTAAAACCGTTACTTCGAGGACCAATATTGGTGACTCAACTAATATGGAGGGCATACTTTCTCTCAGCATTTATGGTCTGTTATAGTGCATTCTAACAATAATTTATAATTAAACTACAATTAATTTATATTAAACAATATTAAGTGACTTTTTTTACACCATGGATTGGCCACATAGTGAAGAGGGTAACCAAGTAAAACAATATGAAGGTTGTTCCTGATTTAGATTAAGACTAAGCCAATGGAGAATAACTTTCTACTACTACTTAAAGTCTGTCCTTTCATCAAAGTGTCAGTGTATTTAGCATGTAGGTACTAATTAAAGACACTGTTCTACACCTCTAACTGAAGATGGGACCACCATTTGTCCATAGCCACCCTTGCCATGAGAGGTCTATTCGTTTTGGCAAAGGAAGTATCTTCTTCCCTTGTAACTAAAGACCCAGAGTATTGATCTTGCCCGGGGACTGAAGAGGTGACTTTTTAATCAGCAGGCCAGCCCGGCCGCCTACCGACACTAGTTATCCCTTTTACTCAGCTTTTATGGATTACAAACTTAAAAGTGAAGAAGCAAAATTTGATGATCAGAGTAACATTAATGCAAGAATAAGATTCTGTAAATAACTATAACCTAGCATGAAAAAGGAAAAACAACAATTTGAACCACCTTGCACGACCTTAAGATGGGGGTCTTAGATGTAAAGGGTACATTTTGGTTATTGAAATTCTATACGCGACAAATTCCCCAGCGGTGTCTCATGTATATCTCACTATGACAACTAATTCACATTAACACGTTTTAAACATTTAGACACCTGTTTCAACGCATTGATTTTGCATAATTGTACATATTTGTTTTGAAACTACCTTACCTGATTATAAACCTTCAACATTGGATTAAAAATCCAAGGTAGATATGAAATTTTTCTTCGAGCTAGGTTTTTATTAGTCTTTGATCTGACGGAAAATCGCATTTTTGTTCGCTTGCCCCGATTTTCACTCTCTTCTTCGTTTTGCATAATCCCGCAAGTTTTGTATGAGGGCACTAACAGTCATCCAGGCGCGAAACTTTGATCGACAACATTTTTAGCAAGCCAGAAGAAAGCTACAAGAAAATGTCCCCTTCCATTCCGTGATCGCTCCTTCCCAGAAGATTATCACGAGTAAGAAAACAGATTTAAGAGGTTTCGAAGCTTTTATTTACGGTCGGTCAAAGTACGGTCTCAATCTAACCGCATACTCGCGTGACCCATTGCAGGAGCCTATCACAAATAGGCTCATGCGTGAGCTCATCACACGTCAAGATCACTCCACCAGCTTGCCGCGAACGTCGCGCGAGCGCATTGGCTGATATTTAACTTCCGGTTAAAGAGAGTCTTTTCCTAGAAACACTTCAACAAAGAACTTCAATTACTCAAATGAAAGGAATGTACCTGAGTGAGTGCACTTGAAGTGTCATCCAGGTCTGACAAGGACTTTTCGCTGGAAGAACAAAGAGAAGACACGCTTGTTGATAACAATGCTCAACATAGCGTAAATTATGACGCTGTGAGGGATGCAGTACGACAAACAGAAAATGATGTTGAAACGCTAAAACTTCCTCTGTTCCTCTGGATCGATAATCTTTTACACTATCACCAGCTTTTCATTTCAAAAGCCATTTCTCCACGCGAGTCATTTCGAAAATAAAAATGTTTGAGATACATTGGCGGGTAGTGTGAATAACAAACAGCGAAATAATTGGACAAACCTTCTTACTTTCCCTCTGAAGTCTACCTCGGGAATCTCACCATTCACTTCATCTGCAAATCTTATAAAACCCAGAGCAGAGCATTACCCAATATTGAGCAAAAACATGAAGTGTAATCATGCATAAAATGACTAATACCAGAAAGTTTTGGCAAGCATACGTACGTTTCGAATTCATTGATGGAACAACTCATCGAGCTCGTAGACTCGTTGATTTCTGCCTCGGTGCCAGATGTGTTGTCCATTGCAGCAGGGAGATTCGGGTTTGATTTGGAGCGAGCCTCTTTTCTTTCTGCATTGAAAAAATAAACAAGATAATTTACAAGTATTAAAAGGAGTATTTATGTAGTGACAACTCGCGTAACGCAACTCACTTTTGCTGCTATTTCGCCGCTCTTTAAACTTCGGTTTCTTTCGATAGAAAACCTTTACCGAGAGTAGAGAAAGTTTCATGTTGGAATAAAAACCCCTTTTACTATAAAGTGGCCCGTGCACTTCGCAATTATAAGACTTACAGAGCAACGCGGAAGAAATAACCCACTTAACCACATTGTGTGTGTGTGCAATCACGCTCTCCCCGTGGAATATGATTTCACCGTCGATTTCACCTGTATCAAACAACGGTGACGCACTTCCGCTGAGACAAAACAGCGATATTCCCGACATTCACGGAAAACATGGCAATCATTTTTTGCACTAGTCTCACGTATTTATTTACATTTATACGAGTCTCTTGTAACTGTAGTTTCATGTTCAATATTTTAATGTTCTTCTTAAATATATTGGATATTCAACACCAAAGGTTCAGCCGTAAAATTTCAGTCTTTCTGTGACTCAAATCTACATTTGATAGTCAGAAGATTTTATTTATTTTAATATTATTACTCGATATATAGGTCGCTCATTTTCAGTTAAAGAATCCAAATAAAAGAAGTTTATGATTCACGGAGAAATAACGAATTTAAAGAAATCGAAGAAATTAGAAAACCAAATGGTATCTGGGTGAAATTTAAATTTAGCGGATATTTTTTAACCCAAACTTGACGCCATTAAAGTTTAAATTGATCAAAAGCACCCTAGATAAATTACTGTTGATGAAAAAACTTACCGCAGTGACGGATACCCAATTCAACTGACCAAAAGGAAATTTCAAAGGCTACAATCCGCTAAAACATTTCAGTAAAAGGCTCTAAAAATCCAATATGGGCGACCGGAGATCGAGAGTAAGTTACTTCACTTTCGAAATGGGCTTTTCCCTGATTGGGTAGTTCTAAAAGGACGCCTGCATGGTATTCGCCTGGTCGCCATAGACAGGTGGTTGCCACACCAGAAAAACTCACTTAAGGTTTGGGTGGCATATTTTATTATTATCGCTTATGTGCGTCGCTTAGGTTACTGTCCACTATAACAAAGCAAACACATCGCCACGATGTCTTAATGAAAATGTGTCAATCGCTAAATGATAATTCTAGCATGCTAAACAGACTGATGAAAGCCGACTTTTTAGAGCGAGCGCTTTTTATTCTCCCGTACAAGGATAATCCTGAAGATTTTACGTACTAGTACACAGTCAGAAAAACCTACAGCTTTACAAAAACTGACAAAAAAGGCAGCGGATTTTAGGGTTTTCAATAAAACGTGCGACCAAATATTTGCTCGTTTTTCCGCGCCTTTGTTGGTGCTTTCTCGTTTTTGTTTTAATTATCCACGCAACTATCTGCCACGGGGTAGTTTGAGTGTAGTTTCGAGGAGTTCTCTCTGTTCATTTGATCCCAGATGGCTCCTTCCAGCGTCTGACTATTAGTCGTGACGGCTCAAGAGAAAGGAAGGCGTGAGAAAAAACGAGCGAGGACAGGACTGAGAGCCTTATTTTTTATCCGTGCCTGTCTTTTTTCTACTAACCACGCTATATAGTTACACATGTAAACGTGTCGACAAGAAGAGATCTTGCCGGATAAGATCCCTAGAAAGGTCTTAAAAATTTCTTCTGGTATAATTCCACCATCCGAATATTTCATATTTATTATTTAACTTTGTTACTTTCCACTGGAGCCTTTATTGATGAATGAGCGTATACGACCTGTATACAAAAAAAAAAAACGATCGACGTGGCAAGGGAAACTGTAGACTCGATTTCAATCGCGCCAATAGCACGAGTATTTCTCGAGAAAGAGGTTTCCCGGAAGCTACATTGTTGGACAAAACAGATGGAAAATCTAGACCCCCCAAATCAAGGATGGAAAAATGGCGCGTTTTGGCTTTTACGCGCGCTTCATCCTTGATTTGGTGGGGGATGGGGGTTTGCTGTTCCATTTTATTCTTACTAATTGATTGTATATATCATCATGTGAAGGAAAATTCTATTCTCTATAAAAATCCAGTAAGGATTCTGCCCTCTTCATTCAACCCTCTTAGCATTAACCCTTTAAGCCCCAATATCCACATACAAATTCTCCAAACTGATCTCTATACATTTTGTTAAAGAATAAGTTGAGAGAATTTGATGAAAGATCAAAGCATTTTCTCTTAGGTGATCAATTTATTAATCACCATTGGGACTTAAAGGGTTTATTTAACTGTGCGACAATTGGTTTTAAAACAGGGATACGGGAAAATTGACAAGGTAAGTTTTTCTTGATATTAAAAAGGCCTTTTAATTGATCATTTGTAATTACTAGAGAAACGTGAGCTTTATGAAGTTTCTGGTGGGGCACTGAAATGGTTTAATTCCTATCTCATTTTTCGACAGCAACAATGGCTGAGTAAATGGCATTTCTCGCCTTTGTCGGAGACACAGCTCATACGTCGTGCTTCTGCCGTGCCGAACTTAAATTGTAATTGGCGTCAACAGAAGCATGACTTTAATAGAGACGTCGTGCCAACGTAAAATCAAGTCAGCGGTAGGTGACAGAAAAAAGTATATAATTCTGAAAACACTTTTCGAAAATTTATGAATTTAGCCCTAAACGGCATAGGCACGACGTTTCAATGTACTGCCCTGCCAGAGGCGTGTGTTAATTGTGTAGCACGACAGACCTTGTCAAACTTAAGACTGCAGATTTTGGACTCTATTTGGACCATATCTCCCGGTCTCCAGATTAGAGTCTGATATCTCCCGGATAATCGCCAAAATTGCTATTTCTTGTGCACTCGACTTTCCGACCATAAAATTTCAAATATTTTGCGTTGTTTCAGCCACAGAGGGAACGTTAACGTTTAAGCAATAATGTGGCTAAAGAATATGAACTGTTTATGTGCTATATACGTCGATCGGAATCAACGAGCATTTTTGGCCCAAATGACGTAATTTGTCGTGTGATATGACGTCATCTATCATTTCTTCCCTATCAATTCTCAATATTTGATGGCGTGGGGGGTTGTGACAGCCCTGATTAAGGCGCAAGTGAAGGTCACTTGCTTGCCTCCTAGCTTCCTGTTAACGCTTTCGGTTGATATATGAGATAAATCGTTTCATTATCATTTCACTGTTCATAGTTTTGTAGTGATGATAATTTATAACCAATTGAAGAGTAGATTAGTGGGTTATAGATAGTGTAGTTTTAGTAGTTAGTCACAGGTGAAGAGCCATATTTTTTGTTTATGGATATACTGTGAATAAACCATTATTATTATTATTATTATTATTATTATTATTATTAAAAATAATGAAAAAAAATTATTGACAACAATGCTAACTATTAAAATCCTATTTACAATTAATTTCCTTGAAAAAAAGAAAAAACTATTCATTCAAAACACTATTTACAATTCCTGTCGATTTAAAAAGCACTTAATTTAGCTTAGAAAGAGCTAATTTAACTAAGAAAAATTTATTCGAATTAAAAACATTTCATTTCAATAAAAAAACTGTCAGCCTCTAAAATTCAAAAGTTTCTTTCAACTGTTTAAAAAAAATAAAATAAAGACAATTAATAAAGCATCTATAGCTGTTGAGTCTAGGGAAATCCTGCTTGACCCTTTTCTATTTCTAGATCCCTGTCCTTAACATCTAAGTTCCTCCTTCTGGGGGTTCTCGATCATTTATTATTATTATTATTATTATTATTATTATTATTATTATTATTATTATTATTATTATTATTATTACTATTTTTATTATTATTATTAAATTCTGAAACATTTATGAATCCAGTAAAAATTTTCTATAGTGCAAACTTAGCTTGAGCTCAGCCAACTGGGAGCTGGACACCATGTGAGTTCGGCATATTTCCGTAGAAAAAATGAATTTTGAGCTGAGAGTGAATAATCGAAATGTTATTTATTTCGAGGAAGAAATATCCGATTTATCGATTTATTTTGTAAAAAAATAAATAAAATAAATAAAGTAAGGTGAACTCTTCTTTAGGATAATCCTAGCGCGTAAGAGTTGTTATAGAGCATCATTCTTTCCGCGCACAGTCCCAGAGAGGAACCATCTGCCCCTTCACATTCGGAATACTTCCTGTATAAGACAATTAAAAGCCATACTGTCGTCTATGACTGAATAAGCCCTGACCGTTCCCTGTTCACAAATATCCCATGTAGGAGCTTTGCACAGTAATAGATTTAGATTTCAAGAAGAGTTGAGACCGCCGTCGTTGTTTGTATACGTGCAAGTTTTTCGGGAGACCTACGCCAGCTCTTCGCCAGTTTTAAGCACGAAATTCGCAGGGAAATGACGCAAAACTTGATAAACATCAAGTGGCCTAGTGGCCTAAACTTCAATGACCATTTCGAGTGTTGTAGAAGTAAAAACACTGGAGCCAACCATCCATACAAAATACAAACTAAATCAGCTAAAGTTAACTCCTTTAACTACTCCTTCTTTGTGAGAATCGTCAAAGACTGAAACAGTTTGCCAAACCATCTCTCCACTGACGAAATTAACGTTAACAAATTTAAAAAAGGCTTTAAAAGATGGATGAAGATTTATTGACAAAACAGCTCATATTTTAATATATATATTCTCATTTTAAATATCATTCTTACAATACCATTTTCTACCTGCAATAATGATTTTTACACGCATTTTTTATAATTTTTTAATATTTTTAAAGTTCAGTTAACCTCGCGGTCCTTCTTTTCAAATACGTAACATGTATAATGTTTATGCCCATATGTGTATTTGAATCACGTATTATTAACGATAAAGATCAGCGGACGTGACCCATAGTTTTCAACCATTTCAACAAAAAGTTGATCAACCAAACCAACCAAAAACGGGTATTTCTCCCCAACAGAACTGACAGAACACGACCTCAGACTGCCGAAGAAATATCTAACACGTGATAGATCACCGCAGTTATGTGACGTATCACCTATTTGCTCTGTAGTTCAAAGAAATAAAATATTTTGATGCAACGCTTGTGGTGGATTTTCGAGTGACTCTCGATAATAATGGTGACACGGTCCCTTTATTGTGTAAGTAAAACCCACGACAGACCGCATTCGTACTGATAAGAGCTAAAGTTGTTTCCTGGATGACTGAGTGTGGAATTTTGATATGAGAATTTACCTATACCCGTAAACAAGGATATATCCGTACTAGGTACATTGATAGGAACATACCCAATTTTTTGCGTCGCAATAAAATCCATTCTCCTTGGACATTCTTTCGGCTCATAGGAACTTCTGTTCTTTCTTCCGTTGAGATTTTCGCCTCACCGCTTTTCGGCTTATCTACGAGCGCCTTTTTCATTTTCCCTATTATAAAATGTTTTTCTTTCTTTTTTAACGATTAAAAAGCTTAAACAGCATAATAACACGTTGCAAGTTGAAACACGTCCAGCGAATTTTCTTAAGAAGGCATGAGATGGGACTGTATCAGTGCACCTCAGGTTCAGTGGAATTCCCCCTCCTGTCCATCAAGTTTTTACGACCTCTCCATTCTGCCCAGTATTTTAACCTTCCGATTTTTTCTACTTATACTTTGACTCTTCAACGTTTTCCTATCAAATACCAACACGCTGTTTTAGGCATTTTTATTTGGCTTGTCAGCGGTTTACAGTCGTTTCGCCTATGTCCTGTTCGCCACGTGTTAGGTCGTTTCGCCAACGTGTCATAAGTAGTTTAGCAAAGGTGTTTTAAGTCGTTTCGCTACAAGACCGGTCACCTTTTCTGCTGGGTGGCTGTCATTGTACTACAATTCAGCAAGCTACAGCATGTGTTACATTGTGTAGAATTTGCTTTTGCTTTCAGCATAAAGGATTTCAATGCTTTGATTTCACAAGGAATGACAGAACTGAACCGTTGACGTCTTGTACTCGCATCAGCAATAAAGGAAATGGTAATTACCGGAGTTAAGTTTCAGATTTTCTGGGGTGTAAGCCCTAGGCATCACGAGACGACTAGAGGCAAATAAATAAATAATAAATAACAGAGCATTAAGCGCAACATGTCCTAAAAGCTCATGGCGCTTTAAAATGGTAAAAACATCAAGATTAAAATTAAAAAATTACCATTACAATTTCTCTGACGACGGTAAATGTTAAAATGTTAAAAAAAATTCCTTTACCGATCGTTAAAAATTATAAAACATAACTAATACAAAGCTTCTTTAAAAAGAAATGTTTTTAATTTGTTCTTAACAACATTTAGGCAAAGGCATTCAGTACTCGAGTTATTGAAAAATGGACGCTTTTTGCCTAGCATGCGTAGCGAGCATTTCTCGTTCCAGCTTTTGCGCAGTAACTTGAGCGGAAAAGCTTGCTCCGCAGGCTACTTTTTGCCTAGAACCGTTCGTGAATCACAATACACTTTTTATGGTATTTACCGGGGGGCAATACTCCCTTATTTGGCCTAGTACGGGGATGTACTGCTGCACAGGGTATGGGTTTTGACCTCTCTGTCCTAAACATGGCATATAATTTCGTGTGAGTCTGTCCCAGACAGGGTGTATAATTTCGTGTGAGTCTGTCAATAGGGTATTGCCTGCACGATTGATTTAATTTGCAAGATGCATTTTGTTAGTACTCCAAGTATACTAAAGCCCATAACGCGAATTTGCTCTATGGCAATTGCCAATAAATGGCTTTAAATAAAGATGGTTCGCATTTATGTCTTTTGTCCTAAATACGGTAATAAAATTGAAGGTGTTGTCTTAAACAGAGTACGTATTTTAGGCATTTTTTGGCCTAAGCAGGGTCAGAACAGCCCCCCCACCTGGTCTGAACACCTGGCCACTTACAACCAGAAACGCTACCTTCATTTGACATGGCCGTCCCCAAGTCATTAAATAAGAATGTTAACAAGCAGTCCCACCAATTAAATTCGCCAAATGATGCTCCAATCATTTGAAACCCCCAGAGACCACCCTGGGCATGAAGGGCCTTTCAATTCGTGTTCCCTCCATATTTGTTTCCTAGTAGGCGGGGGATATGATGGAAACAAGAGAGAATGATCTTGCTCATTCTCTCTTGATGGAAATTAGGGTCTTTGCTAAATTATGCATTTTTTTGAGCTGCTTGGCTGGATATTACCCTGCAGTGCAGGCATTTTCTTCGGGTGTGTGACTGTTTTTGCTCAGGAAAGTGCCATGTTGAAACTCCCGAAGAGAGGAGGAAATGGGGTGAGTCCTAAGGGTTACAATTTCTATTTTCCCCAATCTTCCTCTGTCATAAAATCAAAGATGGCGGATACAATAACACTGACATAAACAAGCTTTCGCCTGCCCAAAATACGCCTGCACTGCAGGCTAGCTTGATACCAAAGTGAGGATCACTTTTTTATAACTTACTTTCTTTTTGTTGTTCAATACATTGACCAAAAGGCTATGAAAAGGGCTTTATAAAATTATGATCCATTTTGCAAGTGTTGTGATAGCTGCTCCAGACTCAATGTTTTCTTTCATGGCTACCATCATATTTGTCATCCCTTGTTATGTACATGTATAGAGGCGGGGGAGGTCACCATTCACTTGCTTTCACTTGCATAAAAGGTGAATGCCCCCTCCGAGGATTTCAAATGAATGGTGCATGATAAGTTTAGTAAAATGGCTACTTTATTTTAAACTGGCTTGGTTGGGATTTTTGGATCAAAGAGGTAGGTATACATGTGTATAGTCTGCTTGTTTCGCGTCATTGCTTAAAGAACGAAATTGAACGTTTATTAAAATATGTAAATTTAGACTACTGCAGGACTGCAGTAGCAGCTTTTTTAGGTTAAATGTAAGTGGACAGGTATAGCAGGTATTTTGTAATCTAGCCCAATACAGTGGAAGCCTGCTCTCTGCCTTGTTGCCTCCTACTAGTGCTGTACTACTACACAAGTTTAACTTCCTTGGGGTTAATTATGCTCAGTCTGTGGTCCTTCCCTTTTTCCTCTTTGTCTGTTTGAAGACTAATATTAATAAATCTTGTGTCCGTGACGTTTTTTTCGAAGAGCCCGCTTAACACGGAAACCCTGATAATAGGGACAATATGGCATATCCCCTTGGTTTCCGCATTAACCGGGACCCACTGTATTTAAATTCAGAAGGACAGAAGAGGACAGAACGAAGGACTTCTTCAAAGAAGAACTTAAGCTAAATTATATGAATGAGAAGATTTTCTTTACCTCTTTTTCCTTCTGACAGGTTCCATCAAACGATATTTACGCTTGTACTATTTCCAGAGAAAGGAATTTTCTTTATCTCGCCGTGGCGCCGCTCTTCCGCCGCCATTTTAAGTTCAAATATTGAGCCTGCAATAACTATCACTGACACTAAAGTTGGAATGCGCATGATTGCTCCTTGGTGGAAAACTTTTTTGTTTTGAAATTTTCTTTGGATCTTGGAAGATCTTGGAATCGTTGGTGGTTTACTAAATGTACCAAACAACTCAAAAAGAGGTGGATAAAATGTTAGTGAGTGCTATAAACTCCAAGTGGACGGTTCTGAATCTAAGTCATCGCGATCTAACGGTTCTCCCAGACTCGCTGAAGGAGCTTGCTAAAGTGAGAACTTTGTTGCTGAATGACAACAGGATCATCATGCCTCCGATGGAACTTGTAACATTGAAAAATCTACAAGTTTTGTCGCTTGATCACAACCAGCTGACGTTAATACCTTCTGGATTTCGGCAGCTAGCAAACTTGAGGATTTTATGCTTGAGTCACAACAATCTAGGATTTTTACCATCCGAAATTGGTGATTTAGTGTTTCTCAAAGAACTTTGGATCGTCAATATTCAGCTAATGTCGTTGCCTCCGGAAATTTGTAACCTTCCGCATTTGGAGAAACTCGGTGCAGGTTGTAATAACATCAAATCTTTGCCTGAAAACTTTGCAAGGTTAACAGCTCTCAAATGGCTAAGCTTAGCCAATAATCAACTTTCATCTTTACCAGATAATTTTCATCGCCTCATAAACTTGATGCACTTGGATCTTTCAGAGAATCAATTTGGTAAATTCCCTGAAGCTTTGCGTGGCTTAAACAAACTTGAATTTCTGAGTCTACAGTCAAACTTAATTCAATCTTTGAGCAGTAATTCAGTTGACAGTTTGCCTAATTTGAGTCATGTTGACTTACGAGATAATAAATTGGACTTGTTGCCAAGAAATTTGGAGCGCTTACATATCTTTGTCATTGGACAAAAGCAAGTTTACAGAGATGTAGAGGAAAATAGTTTGCAAAAAGTCATTGAAGTCAGGAAAAAACGTAAAAGTGCCAAAGTGTAAGAGGTTTGAAAGATGGAGTCAGCCAAGTTATAATTTGGCAATTTTTATGAAGTAAATGCAACCAGGGAGGCAAAGCATTCTGAAAGGGATGGAAGTGTATTACGGAAAATAAAAATCAAAGCCCTAAAAGAGGCTAAACTTGTATAGCATGACTTTTATTTTATCCTTAAAATAAATCACCCTTTAGAGCTGATAAAGCTCAAGTATGACACCTTTTCACTTAACTGTCTTTTGGGTTAAATTCAAATTTGTGGTTTCATTTTTGTAAGTGTCAATTTCCAGTTTCTTTATTTAAAACTAGCATTTTTTAACCAGTTGATCAGTTTCCTACCGGGGGTGGGGGGGGACTCCTCATATGAAAGGCGTGTGGATGCTCGTCGGAAATTTTGAATTAAACCCCTAAAGGAGAACAATCTGGGCGTGGCCCAAGCCTTTTTTGACCCCTAAAAGAGACCATGTTGAAACACAGACATTATATATATATTTATATTTTTTGCGTGCATCCCTAATCGAGACCTTCATGGCTGAATATAATGGTGTTTTGCCCAGAACACCCTAAGAGAGACCAAAATCCGAAATTTACACCCCTAAGCGAGATAACGAGCATCCCCACCCCTTTTATATGCGGAGTCCCTCCCCTGGGATTTCCTATTGAGTATTATATTCTAGACCCAAACTTTATGCTTTCTATACCCTACAACAGGGACTAAACTGCTTGAAACCATACCCTTCTCTGCAGCACTTACCTATACAGCCCATATATGGCAGTACTCCCAGAGCCAAATTTCCACTACTGATGCCATTGTAGCAATAATTATTATTTCTACAATGCACCATTCCATACTGTACCTGCTTTTTTCAGGGCTTGAATTTGGAGGTTATTAAGTGTGATAGGTTTTTTGCCACCCTTCACCTGTTAAGACCTCTTTTGGCTGTTATAATTAACAAGTGGTGGAAATATGGCAACTTCGATAATTTGCCATATTTTTTCTGTCCTCTTTGTCCCTTTCCATTCCCTCTGGTATTTTCTTTTAGTCTGTTCATTTCTCCTAGGCCTTTCACATATGAAACTGCCAGAAGTTTGACACGTCAGATTGTGAAAGCCAAGCATATAGTGCAAAAAAACAAACAAACTAGACCTTTTCTTAAGATCCACTCAATTCTTATCCCAGCCAGCCAGCCAGCCAGCCAGCACCTAATTGCAAACAATGAAATTGTCATAAGGGAGTTAATAGAAGAAGATGAGAAATATTGTTATCATGATCACCCAAAACACTTCTTCAATCCAATCAACCTTTAACCAGTTTAAGTCCATGACAAAAAGGATGGAGGTACTAGGCCAATAATTGAGTGTGAAGGATTGGGATGGGAGGAGTGAGAGCTAGTACAAAGGAGTATTCTCTAAATATTAGTTCTCGAGGCAGTGCCGTCAACTCTCCCGAATAATCCAGGGGACTCCAGATTTTGGACCGTACCTCTTGGTCTCTAGATCAAAGTCTGAAATCTCTTGTATAAATATTGAAGTTTGCCTTTTCTAATGTAGACTTGACTTTCCCACCACAAAATTTCAAATATTTTGCATTGTTTCAGCTATTTTACTGTTAACATAGAACATTTCCTCGTAAACTCCAGTATGCCATTGTAATTTAAGCAATAATATGGCTAAATATAAACTGTTTATGTGGCACATACTGTGATACATCAATTGGAGTCAACAAGCATTTTTTGTGCAAATGACATGCGATATACATCTGATGTCATCTATCATCCCTTCCCTATCAATTCTTAATATTTGATGACATAGAAGGTTGACAGCCATGTCTAGGAGTGACAATTCTGCAGTTGATGAGAGATTTTTACTGGCAAAGGAAAAGGGCAAAGGAGCCTTCTAAAGTTAGGATTTTTTTAAAACGGTGTAGAAGCAAAATTTGGTAACCCAGCTGGAATTTAATTTGGTCAATTTGGTGTTTACTTCAGAGTAAAATAACACTTGTGTATGTGAGCTTGGGAGATAGAAAAATAAATGAACTTTTCCAATTTCGGTTCACAACAAAATTATGGGTACGACTGAAACCCTGTCCTGTACCCCGTTTGTAACTTTTTGGAACAGAACCATATTTGGAGTGAGACTGGGACGCAAGCGCATTAGAAACTGTCATTGATCAGACAATTTGCAACCTTCCAGTGGCTGCGACTGTTTTTTAGATCCATGGAATTTTAAGTGATGTTTCTGCGATGAATTAGATCTGTGCAGACGTTCAAGGCGTCACACTAGCTCGTAAATTGCTACCATTGTGTTGAGATTTTACGCGTTCGGTGCATAGCCTCTAAAATGGAGAGCGTGCAGGTTGAAGTTAAGATTGAAATTGGGCACAAGGCTTCTTGTAAAAAAACGAAGAGTCCTGAAGGCTTTACACACGACTGGACTGTTTTTGTGCGAGGGCCGGAGAGCTGTGATATTTCCCACTTTGTGGACAAGGTGGTCTTCTACTTACATGAGAGTTTTGCCAAGCCAAGACGAGGTAAGAGCCAAAATATTTGCTTCTCCTCGTGTGTAAAATCAAATTCTCGTCGGAGCGGGTACACATAGATAGCATTTCGACATAAATCCGATTTTCAGATTTTTCATGTACTTGTAGAACTATTATGGTGTGATTCGACAGATTTCCTTTGTTTCCTATATCATTCTAACCACAGTTGATCACTTTAATGGCCAATTTTCCTCTAACTAAAAAAGATTAAGAGCTACTTCACAGCGTTTTACGTTGATGGTTTATTTCTTGACTTGTCATTTTGACGCGGAGGAAAATCGTTCCAACATTTGATATAATTTGCATTTCACCAAAAGGTCACGTTCATTTTGATCTTCTTATTTTCTGTGAGTTAGACACTTAAAATTCCGTGAAGTTGAAAAAAGTACATTATGTTTGTTATAGAAACACTCACTGTGCTTCGATCATAATACAAAATCTTAAGCTTAGTCCTCTATCCCTTTTCTTGTCTACATAAAACACTGACAACAGAGTGCTTTTATTATAATATTTGCTCAGAAAGGTTTTTGTTTTTTATTTCCCTACCTGGAAAACAACACGAAAGACTTTTCTTGAACTACAGATTTGCTAGAAGTTCACTTTTGTGGTAGCATTATTTCCTCATCATCTGCAGACAATTCTCGCAACGTGTTTTTATTTTCCAAGATAAGCCCTTCTGAGATAAGTGACCGTTAATGCATTTAACCTTCATGTATATCATAGCACTGAAATATCAGCCTTACTTCTTCTCAATCTAAATTCACTACATTTTGTAATCTTCATGAAAAAAACTTGGCTTTTTGCAGCAGAAATCCATTTGGTAGCGAGATCGCGATCGATTCATCATGCAAATTACATTGTGAATTACTTGTGTAGATGTTTGTTTAACAAGTTACAACTTTTGGGGAGTAATATTTCCCTTAAAATAGATCAATGAGACTAGTATAATTACTACGTTTGACTCTTTTTTTCTTGATGTGTTGATGTCCATTTTTAAAAGCAAATATCATATCTAAAAACATTGAAACAAAATCTTTAGACAGTCCTTTAGGAAAATATCACGATGCAACAATTATAATTATTCTGTTCTGTTGATCGTGATTGATGCTACCAGTCTGTACTGGTTTGAAAAGCCTATACTGTATTTGCCAAGGGTTATTATAAATATTCTTTATATACAAAATTTAAACAGGTCTAGTATGTATGTATGAAAAATTTACTTGTGTTGCCATTTTTTGCATTGTCAAAATCTTGTTGTTCTTTAAATCAACTTAAATTAGTATAACTTAGCCTTGTAACCGTCACCTAAGTGATGGATAAAGCCAACCCTCTTTTCAAGTAATCACTCCTGGCTTGAAAAATACTTGAATTTCGGGTTGTCCTGTGGGCAAGCAGCTCTCAGTGAAATTTTGCTTGCCCTGCACAGCAACTATGTGCTTGTGTTAATCTGTAGTTTATGATTTAGTTGGAGGATGACTTACCTGAACCCTTGCTCATTGGGCAGGTAAGCTTTAAAAGTTACTTGCCCAGCAAGAAAATCTACTAATCATAACTATAACAAAATTCTCAAATCTGACTTACTATCAAACTGTCCTGATTTCATTCTAATAGGACAGTGTAATAGGACAGTATGCGTCATGCCTAAGTAATTGGACAGTATGCACTATCACACGTGTGTTTAAATGGGCTTTTTTTTTCACTGCTAGCAAAAACTCTCGGAATTTCTTGTGTTTCGATTTTAAAAAGCCTTATATATCACAAATTTTGTTATAGTTATGATCAATTGGTAACAGAACTTCGTGTCATCCAATTCGTTCTGTAATCATACTCGTGATTAAACAAATCGTTTGACAAGTTGTCCGATTTTGTTTATCACTCCTATGATTATTGACCGAATTGGACTCCGCTCAGTCCTATTACCAAGATTAATAAGTCCCGGACTACCAGATGGCACTTTTCTTGAGCCCTGATTTTGTTAAGGAGAGGGGGCAGCTGTACACAGGCTATGTCTGTGGTAAACAGATAATTTTTGACAGAATGCATTTGCTCCAAGTGTTGTGAGAATTTTGCCATGTGGAACGTCCAACATAATTTTTAATGTGAATAGCATTATTCCAGTTTCCGAAATGGTGGGGTGAATTGTCACTCCTTGGTTGTTCCATTGATCCTTTCTTTGATCCTTCCATTCTTTGTAAACAGTAGTAAAACAATAGTATACTTTGATGCTTTGAAGGTTGATGGATTTCCACAATTGTCTAGAAATAAATGTCATCTGAGTCTCCAAGGTTGAAGTGTACTCAATTTACAAATGGATAAATGAAGTTTTTTCTCGGTACTCTTTTTATGCTTTAAAATCTATGAATTAAAAAGATGCTTTATAGCCAAGGTCGCAGATAAAACTAAACCTCTGGTTAAGTCCATCTGTGTGCCAATGCTGAAATCCTAGTCTGGGCCCCCAGCTGTGTTCCA